AATTTCAAACAACTCAGTTTTTAATCTGGACTCTTTATGTATGGTGTTCTTTCTTGTACAGAAGTTGACAGAATTGGTTCATATCACATGTAGTTGTACAAATGTACTTAGTTTTGTGTCGGGTTTGTAATAACATGAGCAACTCGACGGACTTAGCGACAAAGCATAAATACTATAAAATAAGAATTCTCCGATTTTTTTTATAGCGAACTTATATGAATATCAATCTTTTATTTGAAATCAATTGAATTCCCTGATCTACCTCGCACTAATTGAAAAATAAACTTTTTGGAATATATGTTTCACATGTGACGACGGACATGTTCCAGTGGTCGTAACCATAAAACAGTCATCTTTTCCTTGAATGTGAACTACCAAATAAAACCAAATCACTGGGTTTGTATTTTCTCGAATAACACGACGGGTGCCTTTCTGGAGCATCCGAGATCACCCCGATGGATTTATATTACCCAGTCATACCAATCTATTGAGTCAGCCAAATGAAACTGTTTTGTATGCCACCGCAACTGGAAGTTGGGGGCATATTGTTTTACCCCTGTCCGTCCCATTATGAATATACAGTTATTCCGCATAACTCCTCCTAGTTTGAATCCTAGGAAGTTTCTCTTTACTGTCTGTTTGTACATATATTGAAGGTGTGTATGTGGTCAGGGTTTAATGTTTATTAATATTTGCTCTTTTGGGAGATAGTTAAATTTTTTTTTGTAATTTTTTGGGAAATTTACTTGCATAAGAAGAGCGTTTCCAGATAACTCCTCCTACAGTTTGAATGCTAGGAAGTTTTCACTCTGCTGGCTTTTTGTACAATTATTGAAGGTGTGCATGTGGTCAGGGTTTTTATTTTTATTATCATTTGCTCTTTTGGGAGATAATTGAACTTAAACTCCGCCATGTGCACTTTCTTTATGTACCTGCCCAAGTCAGGAGCATGAAGTTCAATTGTTGTCGTTGTATAAATGTGTGTCTTTTTTTTTTTGTAGATTGTTTAAATATAAATAAGACCGTTTGTTTTGTCGTTTGAATTTTTTCACATGGTGCATGGTGGCCTTTTGTAGCTGACCTGACTATACGGTGTGTTGAAGGCTGTACGGTTGCCTATATATGATTTCTTACACCCACTGCATTTAAACTCTGGTGGATAGTTGTCTCATTGTCAATCACACCACATCTAACTTTATTTCAACTTCTACATGTATGTTGCGTTTTGTATACTGTAACATTGTTTATCTTTTGTACGCATACCCAGGAGCCCTCTTTTCGGAAGCCCCAGCAAAAGTCCTTGTTCCGCGATAGAAAATTTAATTACGAACTCATATAAGATAGCTCGAATTTCAACTCAAAATCTTAATTAATCTGAATGAGACTTAAATTCGAATCTTACTCAAACTCAAAAAGTGACTCAAATTTAATGTTGTAACTAGAACTATACCTTTAAATGTGACTCATACTCGACTCTGAAGTCCAACTCGAAACTCAATGCTAACTTAAACTTTAATTCTAATAATGACTTGAATTCGAAATCGAAGACTAACTCAAAGTATAACTCAAACAGTAACCCGAACTTTAATTTGAACTCTAATTCGATGGATGGCCACACTCATCCAAAGCACATACAACATGGAAATCTATCTAGAAATAGAACAGGTTTTCCGAATTGGTCACGTGATTTTACCACATCAAGTAATGGGATAACCACATCAAAGAATGACAGGACCACATCAAATAATGAAACAAACACATCATGTAGTGTAAAATCATCAAATTTTGAAACATCATTACGTAATGTTAAAACCATATAAAGAATAGGCAAATCATCATTACAAAATAACAAAACCCCGTCATATAATGAAACAACTACATAACGTTAAGTCACATTCACATCAAGTAATGTTAAAACCACATTGACTAATGACACAACCACATTAAATAATGGTGAAACCACATCGAGTAATGACAAAACCATATTGAGTAATGACAAAACTATATCAAGTCAATACGAAACTATATCGTGTAATATCGAAATATCATTAAGTAATGACTATTCCATATTGAGTTATATCAAAACATCATTACATAATGTCAAAACCATATTAAGTAAAGACAAAATATCATCAAGTAATAATAAAACAACAGAGTTCCACATAAGACAGCTGTGGCGTTCCATAGCATTACTTAGCATATGAAACAATCAACTGACTCCTTTTAGGATCTATTGCCTTTAAATGACTATTTTTTATCAATCTTAGTGTTTTTGACTGTTATCTTGAAAACTATTTATAGAGAAAAACGGATGTCAACAAAAATTATGAGCGCATTGCTTATCATCTTACAATATATTGTAGACAGAACAATGGTCATCAAGTTGTGTTATACAAATAGGCTGCATGACTGAAGCTGCCAATTGACTGTTTTAAACATTCAATTTTGGAAATAAATTATTGCCCTTAAACTACATTTTTACCCATCATTTGCATATTTGAAACTACTGAACCAAAACCAGACTTGAATGACTCTTCGCGTGTCTAGATCTCAGTTTGTGAATTATAGTCCAATCTGTGCAACTTCAATGCTGCAATGACTTTAAAATAGCGATTTGAAAATTTCTTTATTGAATCAAAGGCAAAAAATTGTCTACTAATATCTTGAAAACTGCTCAGAAAGTCATGATCTATTGTAAAAACTTTGACCATCAAAATTGTCAGATAATCCTTTATTGAAGTAATTGCCCCTTCGCGATTTTCTTACAAAATTGGATGGGAAAAAAAACTGTTATTTTAAACAAAATTGATAAACAGGCAAATTGAGATGTACAACTTACTTCGTTGGTTGTTAATATTGTGATGACTGTTTAGGGTAGGACCCAATGAATTTGAAGGAAAGTGGGGGGTTTGTAATTTTTTTTTTTAATCCTAATTTTTAGATTAACTAGAGGATACTGATCGGAGCCATCACAGAGGGCCCCGCTCGAGTTTACAAGTAAATTGTGATGGGTTAATTGATATAAATATAGCTTATATCCATATAACGCAGAACCTTTCTGATGCACCTCTCATTCAACCCAAACTGCATGGAGTTTAAAAGTTTTAGAGCTGAAACAATTTCAAACAACTCAGTTTTTAATCTGGACTCTTTATGTATGGTGTTCTTTCTTGTACAAAAGTTGACAGAATTGGTTCATATCACATGTAGTTGTACAAATGTACTAAGTTTTGTGTCGGGTTTGTACTAACATGAGCAACACGACGGGCGCCACATGTGGAGCAGGATTTGCTTACCCTTCCAGAGCACCTGAGATCACCCCCAGTTTTTTGTGCAGTTCATGTTGCTCAGTCTTTAGTTTTCTGTTGTGTTTTATGTACTGTTGTTTGTCTGTTTATCTTTTTCTTTTTGAGCCATTGCGTTGTCAGTTTATTTTCGACTTACAAGTTTCAATGTCCCTTTTGGTATCTTTCGCCTCTTTTTTGTACCATACACACCTACCGGTATAAATAGGGGTGAATAAGCATGCCAAATTTCAATATCCAACTCCAAACTGTTTGAAAGTGGAAACAATTTTACTACATATGCCCAGGAGTGACTAAGATTTTTACCGTGACTTTCACTGTAGGGCTTCTCCCTTGTACACAACACAACATTTTATAAGTTGTAAATAAACATGTCAAGTTCCATTAATAAACTCCAAAGGGTTTGAAAGTTGGAAATTGGAAAACGATTTTCTCCATATCCATTAGGGAGACTAAGTTGAACTAAGTTTTGACCTTAACTGCTGAATTTCTCCCTTGTTTGATGTGACACACTTTTCCAAAAATAGCAATGTCTGTTGGTAATGTCTACTTTGTTCTATGGGAAACCTCAGAAATAAATATGATACATGTGATATGAAGCAATTCTGTCAACTTTGTCTCATTCCAATGAAAAGTGCAAGAGATTTTGCAACGATATACTTTCCCATATTTAGAAATATCCAAGTCGTGTCCTGTTATGATACAGACAAGAGCACATATGCTGAAATGTCTTGCCTGCTTTACTGATCATGATTGAGGGTTATACTACAATTATATAAAATTATCAATGATCTATGTAAATGTGGTCATGTATGCCTCACAATCATTCCATACACCAAATATAGTTAACTTATTGCTTACAGTATACGAGAAAAAGACCCAATTAAGAAAATTTAATTTTCACCAATTTACAGTGAAAATGATGTTAAGGTCCCAAGATCAGATGCACCATGTCAGAAAGACATGTACACCATACAATCATTTCATACACCAAAGGACAAGTTTCACGAAGGGTTGAAAATGGCCCTGTCTCAGAAAACAAAAATTTCAACATAAAATTGAAGTATAGGACCTGACTCATACAAAAACATTTTTAAAAAGTAATTCATGTTGATTTTTGATGTTTTGTGGTCAAAAAGAGAAAAAATGATGAAAAATCTCAAATTTCTGAAATTATTCCAAAAAAAATTTTTTTTTTTTTAATTGGAACGATTTTTTTGTAAAACGGTTCACTTCAAAAGAGACAAAATACAAAAATGCTTGTAACGCATATACAATTAGGATTGGATTTAGGATTTGGGGGTAAAAAATGTAAAAATATGATAGAAATTCATAGATTTTTTTAATATTGTTTAAATGTTTTACTTTAAACATGAAATATTTTTTTTATGGATAGCAATGAAGAGGCTATTAAAGATTAATAATATTCTGTTCATCAAACTTTTAAGGCTCAGATTTGTATTTATTTTGTAAAATAACGGTATAAATAGAAATCTCGAATTTCTGTTATTGAAATAAGAAATATTTGTTCAACCAGAAAATAAATAAAATGATGAGTTTATATTCAACAAGGAAAGAAGCGGGAAATATTATGGATTAAATGTACTGTGAAATGATATAAACGACTAATTATTTATGAAACGTACAATTCACGAATTTCTGGAAATATTTGTTTCAATTTATTGTTTGGCGAAAATATATTCACAGTTTATCTACGTCAAATGAAAACTGTAAATAATTAACAATGACTTAACTTGACCACTGTTACATGAATATACAATATTCTGGTATGGATAATATTTCTTTTAATTTAATCCAGTCAAATATAGAGAACCAGTTGCTACATTCACAGCAAAATCACAAATTTTAGCCTACATTCATATTTACTAGTATATGTCTCAGTTGCATTATACAAAAGAATGATTTATTTGACGGAGTTTGTCACTGCACATTTTCTGTTACATCAGTTGTGGCATCATCTTCATCATCATTATCACTATCAGATGCATCTATTGGTTCTACAACAGCAGCAGCGTCACAAACGTTGGCACCCCAATTTCTAACTCCATATGAACTGAGGTTCTGATGTCTGGCAAAACCTCTGAACAACATAATTGTTGCTAGATGCGAACATGCACCAACAACTCTCGAACCGGCTGGACATTTACAATACCCGGCCACAATATTTGATTCTGTGTACCGAATCCACATGGGATAAGACCTTGAAGAAACATGTCTACTTCTAAGTCTTACACGAAGAAGGCGATCTTCATCTTTATGGACTCGAATTTCACAGTCACCGTCTAGGTGTTCTTGCATATAGCTTGAGCTAAGTTTTAGTTGATATGTACCACATGTTATAAACTTTAACTGGTCTTCATCAAGAACAGGAAATTCTTCTAATGCTATTTCATCCGCATTTGTCCATTTTGCCGTTCTCCATTCCAATTTGTTAATTTCAACATATTGTTTTAATTCGTTTATCTGTTTCGATAAGTAAACCATCTTGCAGGCCAGTTGTTCATCTTCAAGACTATTTCCTGGAAAGAGATAATTGAAAGAAGTAAAAGTACATGTGTGGACGCGGCTGTCCAATGCATAAAACACAATTTAAACAAAGTCGTTCAAGCTTGAAATGATGGTCAAAATGAAGAAAATGTTTCATAAGTTTTTGTATTTAAACATATTAACTATAATCATTTGTAGTTGATTTTCCATACATTTTTCCCGACAAGCATGGTTAGATTTGGCAAAATGTCACCAGTGGTGTAATATTTGAGACTGGACCAATTTTAATTAGAATTGTTTGTCAATAAACTGCAACATATCAACCTTGTAAAATTACAGAAACTTGTTGCATTTCTGTTTTACGGAAGGATTTACCAGAAACAATCAAATTATGCCGCTGACAAACAGACAAACAAATTGTAACTTGGATGGAGAGTTGTCTCATTGGCACTCATACCACATCTTCCTATATCTAAGTTTTTGTTTTTCTAATCAGACGTAGGTGAGGCATAACGTAATCTAGATAGCCTTCCATTTCGTATTCCTACCGTTGCATGAGTAGTTTGAGAGTGAAGATGTGCAATTTTGATTTTTCGATATTTTATGTCAAGCTCTTAACCAAGTATAGCTACATGTAGGACATACCTGTTGACAATGGCGGTGAAAACTTGTTTGAAATTGCACACACTATGCAAACATATTCCCCAATATGGGGTATTTGATTGGTTGGTAGGACATTGTCTAGATATCTCCATTGCTTAATCCTTGCATTAGCTGATTCGACAACCCATCTGATCTAAAAATAGAATGTCAATTTTCTTTATAACCAATCACCTTTAATGTGTTTTTATTTTAATTCAAAAAACAAATAATTCACTTGTACTAAGAAGTAACAAAACTTTTTTTTATCATACATCACACTTAGTTCCTCAATGATCAAAATAACTTTGTGTTTCCTTAATTTTTGGTCACAAACTACACTAATCTAATGCATGATTAGTTAACAAAACATGTATAACAATGCATCATGATTAACACCTTAATTTGTTTGAATATAGTCTCATTTTTCTACAAATTGTATTTTATGAATGCTACAATTAATACCTTGGTAACTAATCTACTGTCATTTGCATCCTCAGTTGTCATCTGTTTTTCGCCTTTCTTCATGAAGTGTGGCATTTCTGCTTGGATGCCAAGCTCTTCTAGAGCCTCAATTGAGTCGCGAAATCCTCTATCTACCACGAATACATCATCTTTTTCTACCCATGCTTTGATGTCCTCTATGTTTGATTTGAGCATATGTTTTAAAATTGATGCATCATTATTTTTGGCATCAGCAAAATACCGTCCACAAATTGTCAAGAAGTATCCATCTGTAGTCACAACCACCATCAGTTTCACCAGCGGTCTTCCTTTGTGCATGCTGTACGACCTCCTTTGAAAGCTAAAATTGTTACTTTTTTGGATGTAAATATAAGTCCCATCCAGAACAAGAATAGGTTGATTCCCAGTATTGTTCCCAAGTAATGATTGTGCCAAAGGCCTAGTGTGGTCCTTATTTACATCTTTACGAGATATATGTTGTAATCCAAGATATTCAGGTACAAAATGTGTATACAGTGCCTTTGTAACAGATGATATTGCTCTGCGAATACTTGATTTTGTAATGTTAAATACTGTTGATAAGACTTTATTCGGCAGGCCAGACTTCAGTTTCATCAGAAAAATTCCTAACGACATTCTCATTGTTCGAGCTGGTGTATTACGGACAGAATCCTGTATATGTTCACATAGGGAATCAAATTCTGAACAATGCAAACCGGTTAGGTTTATATAATCCTCATCTCTAAGAGTTTTACCATCAAAATCAATGCGTTTAGCATCGCTATTTAACGCATACTGCCGGACACGTGTCAGTAAGTCTAAGATATCACTTCTGTTCATGTAGGTGAGATCTGTTGTTTGTATTTTAGCGAAAGATTCTTCTGATAAGTAACCATTCCTTATATGTGCAGGACAGCAGCAGTTACCTTCAGGAATTAAAACTTCATTAGACATAAATGCGGAGAATCTTGCAGAAGGTGGGACAACTACTAATTTTGGTCCTGGTTTTTTACACAAGCAACAATAAGCATGACTCTTAGATGTACTTTTGATGTTTAATTTCACTGATGGTGTTTGTTTCTGTCTGTGACTTTGGGCAAAACTGATCTCCAGTGACTTTTACATTTGTGGTAGCTTTTGTTTTCTCTTTTGCATTATAATAAAGATGTCGACACTTGTTACACAAAATGTCACTCGGTGTTGCATCTAGCATGAATTCCTTCTTAAAATTTTCCTTATTTCTGATGATGTGCATTTTTTTCTGTCATTTGGTTTTGTTTTCTTTCTACATAAACAACAATGATACGTTTTCGGACCACTGCCCAGCATTCTACAACAAAAAGTAGACCTGCAAGATAACATAAAGATAAATTTGAAATTACGTATACACAATGTTTCAAAACACCCGAAGTGGACAGAAGCAAAACGACTATAAGGATACACTGACAAACAGACAGACGTGATGACATTCCAGTAGGTTTCCACAATAAGTTTTTGTGTCAATAAAATATATTATACTGTCATCGTAAATATTAATTTCAATAAGGGTAAACAATTACAGTTAGAAAATTCATAAATTAAAAAAAAGAAAAAAAATATCAATTGTTTGCAATTGGTTCTACCACTTTTAAAACATAAGTGACTGGTATGGATCAGAAAGACCAATAATTTATTTTCTCTGATTCAGTTGCGAAAGACTAATAGCTATAATATATCATGCTATAAGTGACCGTGATTGTGTGTTTGAAATGGGGAAAAAAATATATTTGCGAAAAATAAACATAGTTGTAGATGCATATGGGCAAATTAAGTGAAAGCGATTTAAAAAAAGATTGTTAAGTCTATGTTTTGGGTCAGGGAACCCCAAAAAATCACTCTGATCAATAATGAATTTAAAAGGGTTTACAAATAATGAAATAACAGGTTTACAACTATATACCCTGTAGAATCTGTGAAAGTTAAGGTTGATTTCTGTCAAGTTGTAATCAGGAAGTCAGTATTGTTTATTGTTTAGAACTTAAATTATTTAAAATCAAAATCTTTATCTGATGAAAAACACAAAAATAAGTATGCGGTGGGGTTCGAACTAATCTGTCAAAAATTACAGAATTAAAGAGCAACGCACTAACAGATTGAGCTATCACAACAACAGTAACATCGTAATTAAAATTGTATAAGTAGTGTATTTCAAAAATTGATAACAGTAGACCGTACGATGACAAGTTTATTTATTTATGATGAAATGAAATGTAATATTCTAATAGTATTACACATCAAAGTTTACTGTAAGGTCATTTACAACAGGACTCATCAGCTACATGTAGCCTACAGGCCTATAAATGTGGTAGAACTTTTGTCTGTTTTTCTTTTCTCCTGACGTCGGAGACCGGAGAGATGCAATTTTAATCAAAATCTAGAATTGATTTAGAGTGTCACTTTGAAACTATATTCATATTTGTTCTATTTGGAATGGGAAAGTAACTCAAATTCAACAAAGTTTCATTCCCGTTCAACGCTGTATTCCTTGGAGGATACACCGATCTTTGTGAGTGAAGCCGTCTTACTTAGCGGCGACCTGTCATATCAAGACACCTCTTTTATAAACTGTCGTTATTCTTATTTTCATGATTATATTTCCAACATATGTACTTACTTCAGATTTCTTTTCCTTCTTTGTTCCTTGCAATATTATACATGTTATTCACATCGGTCGTTACTGTTGTGTATCATTCTGACTGGATATCGCTGGTCGTCTGCAACTTGATTTTTTCTGACTTTTTTGTACTAGCGTCAAGAATTGTTTTTTTTTCAATTTATGTTTAGTTTTATTAACATTTTATATAAAAAAAAAATAAATGCGATAACTTTGTATGGGATTAAATTATTTATTGCACTTTCCGGATACATCGGCAATTCCTTTAAAGTCGATTTTCACTTTGGCCGCCACCCACGATCTAAAATGTCTTTATGTTTTTAATTAGACAAATGAATGAATATTAATATAATTTTAAAAATTTGTGGATTGTGAGTGGCGGCCAACGTAAAAATTGCCAAGTTTGGCGGGAGAATCCACCAAAAATGTCTTTTCCATAATCGTACCAGATTTTAGACACTTAATTGGCCATAGAAGAATTGCAATAAAACGGAAAAAACATCATATCGATAACAGAAATATATCTAGCTATCTTTCGGGGAGAAATGGAAGTCCATCGTTGAATTTTAAAAAATGGCATATTACAGGGCCGTATTTGATGCTTCGTGAACCTTGTCCTTTAACTATAAAAGAGAAAAATCTTAAAACAAAACCTCAACATTGACTAATGAACCATAAAAATGATAATGGACATATGACAGAATTTTTGTAACATGTTTTTAAGTATGAAGAAACAAAGTATTCTACACGTAGAAATATCAAACATTACACAAATAGTTTACACCATCGCCTCATAGGCATCACTATGTCTCTCTCACATTTGGAAACTTCATCACAGACAGGACAATAACCATTAATATATTTTTGTGATTAAAAAATATAGAAGGTGTAAAACCAAATATGGTTTGAAGTCATTTTTTTTACTTTCTTTTACAACAAACATAAACTGTAGGAAATTTTACAAAATGACAGATAGATGGGACTACAAACAAAACCAAGATATTGTTCAATAAATTAATGTTCCCTGAATAAATTCTGGGTCATTATTTCAGCTGCCAATAATCAGAAAACGTTTTATCAGTTAAACTGACTTCTACTTTTTGGTTTTACTCAAGAAACCTTCAGAATTAACAACAAAATGTAATAAGTCTTTAATATTTTACAATCAGATTCATAATATAACAAATATCAATCATATATTCCTCAAACATACAAAATATAACTTAAATCCTCAATACAACATGCATGACTATCTTACATAGACAAATACATGGCACAAATGGAATGTGATTTTCTTACATCTATAGACGTGTACTTGTAACTTTGTTTATCCTTATACTTTCTTGTATAAACATGTTAGGTAAATAAATCTATATGCTCTCTAGAAACATTTTGAAAATATGTCTTTATCCATTTTCATGGGTACCAATTTTTGCAGATTGAAGAAAAATTGTATTTTCCGGGATGTTTGATTTCGTGGTTTTTGCACTAAGTCTACAAATAGTGTTTTTATTGGTTTTGTCTTTAAGTTTTTTTACATATTATTCTGTCCTTGATAAATATTGCTTTACAGAAGGCATAACAAAATGAATTGTTAGAAAGTTTATCAAAAACTGAAAATTTAGAACAGATTGTCCAAAAAACAAACTTTACAACAGGTGTACTAGTGAAAAAAAATGTTTTATTATGTCTTGAAAAATTAATTTTTCCTTATAGTGCAAGGTAGCGCTAATTCACATCTGTGCCATAAATAAATAAAAATAACATTCATAAAGATGTCAATTTTTTGTCATGAAGATATCTGTTAAATAATTGCTATCTATAGTTTTATAACTTAAGAGTTCTACTGTTAATGTTCTACACGAAAAAATCATTTAAATTTCATGTATTCAATATACTATGGGCACATAATTCACAAGAAACTAATAGCACCATTATAGTCTATTGAAAAAAATTCTGCATATGCATATGGAGGTTATACCACTTAAATTTCCCTACTTAATACAAATGTTATTGCAAACAGGCAACTCTGTTTAAATTAATTCACAAGTTATCTTAGATCTTTTATCATACAAGATAAGACTTATAAGCTGCTTTGATTTCAAAAGATATGAGCTTACTGTAAATTCAGAAATTATTGCGTGCATTTATTATTGCGATTTTTCAAAAATGGACAAGAATGCGAGTTTAATTATTGCGATTTTAGAAAAATCTACATACAGATCTATAGTTTAGTCTTCAAATGCGAGTTCTTATTATTGCGATGCTCACCGAGTCGCATTATTCGCATTAATAAAAACCTCGCAATAATTTCTGAATTTACAGTATTAAAAACTATTGTAACATTCTAATAAAAAAAACTGCTGTCAATAAAATTTGCACCAAGAAGAGTCAGCCTGCTACAATGAACACGAAATTACTTAAATAGAAATAACAATATTAGTATCCCAAACTCACATTCTACACCTTTCAAAACAAGAAAACAATGCATCAGTTTCATGCACTGTACACAATTACACAATGGAGGTCCACTTCAATAGCACATTCAACAAAAATTTGGTTATTTTACCTGCCAACCTTGCCAGACAGTTGGATCAAGCATACAAATAAAATAAGACACTGGCAGACATTGACATGAGTTTAATTCTAGTTATATGTTAAGCATACTGACATTTGATTGGACATTGTAATCGGTTATTTTCATTAGCAAAGCATGAGCAAACTTCCTTACAAAACATGGTAAGCAAACTAGCCAGACTGTTGTTGGACATGCCATTGCAGATAAACTCTAAAGAATGCAACAATATTATCTGATCAATGTAAGTACATACATCCCCTTTCAACAAACTTATAGGACATTATGATCCCCTCATATATGATATATATATACAAATAATACCCACATTTTACAATCAATAATTTCCACCTTCAAACCAATATCTTAAATGATGGATGTTTGTTATTACTCTAAAATACTTTAAAAAACTAAAGGCATGAAACGTTAGTGATATAATGGATTTCACACAGACACAAGTTATATACCATACAAGCATAAGTTTATTGGGAACTAGCAATTTCTAAAATAATTTCTAATCAAGCAAACACGTGTTGGCAGCACATATTACAATATCAAAACCATATAGACAGTGAAACAAGTCTTAACCAAACACATTTGAAACTTTTGTTCTGATAAGACAGGTGTTCTGTTTACACAGGTTATATTACAAGATAATATCCTCTGTACGTCCTGTTACAAGAGCTCAGTGAAGAGAGGTATTGTTTATGCAGGGTTTGGCTAAGACAAGATCCATTATGAGTATGGATTCACATTCATGTATTGTTTTTTAAAAACATGGCCAATAACAAACACCAGAATATTCCAAATATAAACTCCTTGAATGAAAAACATACAAAATCAGAACACATCAGCTTAGACATAAAAAAAGATGAAGAGAAAATGATTTCATAAAAAAAATGTTAGTCCAGTAAGTCACAAAATAGAAATTGGTAGTTAGAAATCAATAGACAACCAATCAAAACTGGTTAAAAAGTTCAGTAATATGAAGAACACATTTCTACCAAATCATACAAAAATTCATTATTTCTATAAAAGAGAGAAAACAGAAAAAGCAATTTCCATCCAAGAACTAATTTGTACCTGACATTATGGGGCACTCTACAATGCCAGTAAATGTTCATCCTTGTCAGTTCATCAGCAAGTATGTTCAACTTTGATTGCAAGTGTTCCACCTTGTACAAAGGAGTTTCATAATTATCACAGATATTAGTTAAACAAATATATTACCAAGTCATTCATTTTTATACAACAGTGTTGACATTTGAAAACAAAGCAGTTCTTTAAAAATACCGGGAACATAAAAGAATTCATATGGAAGTCACTGGATAAAATATAAATTTTAATCCACTCAATAATTTTATATCTGCTTTGAAATCCAATTTCAATTATTTTTTACTACTAAAATGTTTTTTGTGTTTATGCATCAGATACATATCATATGTCTAAAAATTAAGTTAAATTACAAATGAAATGTGACAATGAAAATTAAATCAATATAAATGTACACATTATAGTTTACAATAACCCAAGTATTATTCTCCACATAGAAAAAGGCTTTAACTGTATATGCAATACAACATATACAGTATACTTTTAATTCCAAGCAGTTTCTATGTTGATGATTATTACCACAACTTCCTACATATCTCAGTCTTTGTTCAAGAATACTCTAGACTGGTAATCAGTTCTTTCTTCTCGACACATTTCCCATTTTATATTTAAACTCCTTGACAGTCTATATAGAACTCCTACATAGAATACTAACATATTCCAAACATTAATCTATTTTAATTGCCCCGTAGATTTTCCTAATGAAGAAATATGCAGCATAGAATCCTATTGTTCCAGTTAAGATCCAGAAAGTTACAACCATCAAAAATGTGTAGCCAAAGTACAGTAATGTAGGTATGAATTCTGTAATCTCTAACTGTAATACAAAATAAAACATTTATCAATTAGGGATAAAAGCATTCAAATAAAACAACACATAAGTTCTCTTCCTAAATATTCAGCAATTCTTACATACATTCTTCAGTATAACTTTTAATAGTATACTTTTAAATTTGTCAAGCTGCAGCTTTATAAGGACCAATTAATCTAGAAACTTTTCTACAACTTCATGTCACAATGAATGACATGTTCCAGTCAGTCTCAAGTCATGAGCAAATATTATATAAAGGTGAACCCAATCTTCAGGCGTGTAATTGCATTTTTTTCTTTTAAGCAATCTCGATACTCTGCAAATCAATCTGACGCTTAAGAAAGTATGCAAAGTATTGACCGCAAATAAAACTGAACCAAATGGAAAGTTTTTTTTTTTTTCAAATGATACCATTTTTTCAGATTTAAATCAAAATATAATAGTGTAGTCATTGTATTAAAGCAAACTTATCACTAATAGTACATTTATCTTACCTTTGTATAGAAATAAAATACAGAGTATGCTAATACATAAATAGCTGAACCACCTGACACAATGAAGGATCTCCACCACCAATGGTAGTCCTGTAAAAAATAGGATAAAATACAGAGTATGCTAATACATAAATAGCTGAACCACCTGACACAATGAAGGATCTCCACCACCAATGGTAGTCCTGTAAAAAATACATAAATAGCTGAACCACCTGACACAATGAAGGATCTCAACCACCAATGGTAGTCCTGTAAAAAATAGGATTATGTCACAAGTCAATTGAAAAAGTTATAAGAGATGGTACAGCTTTTAAAACTAGAAAGTCAACAGTATTTCAGACTAGCGTGTTTATAATAAATTTCATGGTAATAATTTTTTTTCCAGAAATGGACTGCTTTATGCATTTAAATGTCTGAGTCTGTAGTTCAGTGGTTGTCTTTGGTTCATGTCTGTAGATTTGTTTTTCGTAAATTGTTTTGTTATATATTGGGCTGTTTGATTTCTTGTTTGAATTGATTCATATTTTTGATGTATGGGCCTTTTATAGCCGACTATATGGTAAGGGTCTTTCTCATTGTTGAAGGCCGTACAATGGCCTATAATTGCTTATATGCTCTTCATCTGAACTCTGGTGGATAGTTGTCTTATTGCCAATCAAACCACAGTTTTATACTGACAGCATTGTTTGGTTTCTTTGAATTAAATAAGACAACAAAATTTCTAAATAAGGAATTTTCCTAAATATTCTTAAAAAAAACAGCAACAGTAAAATGTCAACTCGGTTAGTTTAATTATAAAAAGGTGATCTTTTATTGAAAAATGAGCTTCAAAATTTATTTATCTTGTATAGATTTTACAGGTCTTCACAAAAACTTACAGATAGAAATTGGTAATACATGTGAGAACATTATTTAAATCAACCATTTTCAGAAAATAAAAATGAAATCACCTAAACCTTAAACCTGTTTTTGTTTTTTTCCACAAAACTGTGTTAAATTTGGTTAAAAAATGAAAACAACATGTTAAAAATTTCATTCTAATTATATTCAATTCAATTATCTCCCCTGAATTGAACACACATATACACAAAAGTTATCTCCCATGGCTATTTTGCATTTTGTGAGCCTACACAAGGATTATTCATACTAACCTCCCCACACAGCTGGAAATATGACATAACAATGGAAATCTGTGATACTGAGATTACAAGGATTATAAATACTAAGAACAGGAAACCAAACAGGTAGTAAAATTGATTCTCCCAGATTGCCTGAAAATACACAAAATTGTATAAGTATAAACAGTTGTCCAATGTATTCAAAAACTAACAGTGCAGGACTTTCTTAAAGTGTATATTCATTTGATGAAACCAGGTTATATTTTTAAAGAAATATATGTATCAACAATATGCATGTATAATTTTGGATTAATATGGATTTGATAAAAGGTCCTAAATGCCATAAGCATTTGAAGTAAGACATATAAAATTAGAGAACCTTAGTGAGCGCGCTCACATACCCCACGTCCCAACATTGTCACTGGAGAAATAAAATAACTGTAAGACAAAAAAATTGAATCATAATTTCCTGTCGATATGCACATCTACATAGTATGTCCTTATTATCTACAAAGTTTCATGAAATTCTGTTGTGTGGTTTCAGAGGATTTGTGATGACAAACTGTTGCAGAGGTATATTGAAGCAAATAAGTTCAAAGGGGCGTAACTCCTAGAAAAAAAATTGAATCATAATTTCCTGTCAATATGCACATCTACCTAGTATGTCCTTATTATCTACAAAGTTTCATGAAATTCTGTTGTGTGGTTTCAGAGGAGTTGAGATGACAAACTGTTGCAGAGGTATATTGAAGCAAATAAGTTCAAAGGGGCGTAACTCCTAGAAAAAAAATTGAATCATAATTTCCTGTCAATATGCACATCTACCTAGTATGTCCTTATTATCTACAAAGTTTCATGAAATTCTGTTGTGGGGTTTCAGAGGAGTTGCGATGACAAACTGTTGCAGAGGTATATTGAAGCAAATAAGTTCAAAGGGGCGTAACTCCATAGAAAAAAAATGGAATCGTAATTTCATGTCGATATGCACATCTACGTAGTATGTCCTTATTATCTGAAAAGGTTTCATGAAATTCTGTTGTGTGGTTTCAGAGGAGTTGCGATGACAAAAGGTTGCAGTAGTATATTGGGCAAATAAGTTCAAAGGGGCGTAACTCCTGGAAAAAAAATGGAATCCTAATTTCCTGTCGATATGCACATCTACATAGTATGTCCTTATTATCTACAAAGATTCATGAAATTTTGTTGTGTGGTTTCCGAGGAGTTGAGATGACAAACTGTTGCAGTAGTACATTAAAGTAAATAAGTTCAAAGGGGCGTAACTCCTGGAAAAAAAATTGAATCGTAATTTCCTGTTGATATGCACATCTACGTAGTATGTCCTTATTATCTGAAAAGGTTTCATGAAATTCTGTTGTGTGGTTTCAGAGGAGTTGCGATGACAAAAGGTTGCAGTAGTATATTGGGCAAATAAGTTCAAAGGGGCGTAACTCCTGGAAAAAAAATGGAATCCTAATTTCCTGTCGATTTGCATATCTACATAGTATGTTCTTATTATCTACAAAGATTCATGAAATTTTGTTGTGTGGTTTCAGAGGAGTTGAGATGACAAACTGTTGCAGTAGTACATTAAAGTAAATAAGTTCAAAGGGGCGTAACTCCTGGAAAAAAAATGGAATCCTAATTTCCTGTCGATTTGCATATCTGCATAGTATGTTCTTATTATCTACAAAGATTCATAAAATTTTGTTGTGTGGTTTCAGAGGAGTTGAGATGACAAACTGTTGCAGTAGTACATTAAAGTAAATAAGTTCAAAGGGGCGTAACTCCTAGAAAAAAAATTGAATCGTAATTTCCTGTCGATATGCACATCTACGTAGTATGTCCTTATTATCTGAAAAGGTTTCATGAAATTCTGTTGTGTGGTTTCAGAGGAGTTGCGATGACAAAAGGTTGCAGTAGTATATTGGGCAAATAAGTTCAAAGGGGCGTAACTCCTGGAAAAAAAATGGAATCCTAATTTCCTGTCGATTTGCATATCTACATAGTATGTTCTTATTATCTACAAAGATTCATGAAATTTTGTTGTGTGGTTTCAGAGGAGTTGAGATGACAAACTGTTGCAGTAGTACATTAAAGTAAATAAGTTCAAAGGGGCGTAACTCCTGGAAAAAAAATGGAATCCTAATTTCCTGTCGATTTGCATATCTACATAGTATGTTCTTATTATCTACAAAGATTCATGAAATTTTGTTGTGTGGTTTCAGAGGAGTTGAGATGACAAACTGTTGCAGTAGTACATTAAAGTAAATAAGTTCAAAGGGGCGTAACTCCTAGAAAAAAAAATTGAATCGTAATTTCCTGTCGATATGCACATCTACGTAGTATGTCCTTATTATCTGAAAAGGTTTCATGAAATTCTGTTGTGTGGTTTCAGAGGAGTTGCGATGACAAAAGGTTGCAGTAGTATATTGGGCAAATAAGTTCAAAGGGGCGTAACTCCTGGAAAAAAAATGGAATCCTAATTTCCTGTCGATATGCATATCTACATAGTATGTTCTTATTATCTACAAAGATTCATGAAATTTTGTTGTGTGGTTTCAGAGGAGTTGAGATGACAAACTGTTGCAGTAGTACATTAAAGTAAATAAGTTCAAAGGGGCGTAACTCCTAGAAAAAAAATTGAATCGTAATTTCCTGTCGATATGCACAACTACATAGTATGTTCTTATTATCTAAAAAGGTTTCGTGAAATTCTGTTGTGTGGTTTGAGAGTAGTTGCAATGACAAGAAACAGGACTGACGGACCAACGGACTGACTGACGGACAGACGGACGGACGGGTCAATAACATTATACCCTCCGCAACTCGTTGCGTGGGGTATAATGAAGTTAAGTACAGCCTTGGTTACGTAGGTCATATAGCTGACTATACAGTTTGAGGGTTTTGCTCCTTGTTGAAGGCCATACTGTGTGTAGCTGCTTAAATCCTCACCATTTGGACTGTGGTGTAAAGTTGTCTCCTTTGTTTTTATAGGTCACAGTATTTTTAGCAGACAATATTTATGTTTAGCCAAGAGAATTTCTTCTTCATTATTACTCTATACTTACTGAGAAAATGAAGAAAAGTTCTATAAACATAGCTCCAAAAGGTAATATTCCTGACATTAATACCCTGAAAAAAAAATCAATACTTTGAAATTCTAAACTGTTTAATTCTGTGAATTACATAACCATGGTAAATTGGTAATGAAATAAATAACTACCCTACGACACTTCTTCAAAAGTACATTTAAAAATAATGTGATAAACTGGGATCTTCTCTTATATGATACATCAATAAAGTCAGTATCTTTCTTAATTTTAGTTTCTTGTGTATGATTTGGAGTTTAGTATGACGTCCATTATCCCTGAACTAGTATACATATTTGTTTAGGGGCCAGATGAAGGACGCCTCCGGGTGTGGGAGTTTCTCGCTGCATTGAAGACCCATTGGTGGCCTTCGGCTGTTGTCTGCTCTATGGTCGGGTTGTTGTCTCTTTGACACATTCCCATTCTCAATTTTAGTAAAATAAATCACTGCAAAAATGGCTAGCAAGAGCAAAAAGAAAAGAAGTATTTTGAAAATGAGTTGATTTAATGTAATATACTGAGTATATGTTAAAAGATGGACTGTTACATCCCAAACTTCTCTAACATCACAGTCTGTCTATTGTTAATGCTGCTGTGTTATGTCAATTCCACAAATAAACATCAAAAACTAGTTTTGTTTCAAATTCTACTCATTTGATAATGATAATGAAGCATAAGATATATGAGTTTATAGCTTATGTTGTAATATTTACCCAATCCAATGATTCATGTACCATTGTTGTTCTGGTACCTGTCGTGGAATCTGATTGGTTCTAACTGGATGTTGATATGGCTGGAAAAACATAATAACAGGAAGTAAACATTTTGATGCTGTTTATGACTTTTTTTGTGATTTTTCCACTACATGTGTATTTTTACATAGTTTTAAACACTTATATATGAATGGGAATATATAAACTAGTAACTCTTTTTAACACAAAATCTTATACCTTCCCCTTCCACCTTTTTCAAATAACAAAGGACAGTAACTCCCATTAAATCAGAACTATCTTATCTGCACTAAACATTGAAATGCATATATCATGAATCATTTTTTGTATATTTTCATTCTATTCTAATGTAACCGTAAGAAGATTTAGCTTCAATTAATTCTCCTAAATATAGAAAAAAAATAAAGTCCATGCACAACCAAAATCTAAATTTAATAAAAAAAAAAAGAAGTTGCACAACTACACAAGACATTAAGAAATTCTGAAAAGGGAAGTAAAGTGTAGGAAATCTGGTGGTGAAATATTAATTCACATGTAGAAATAGCACTATTCATGTTTTCCATTAAAGAGACCCCAGGTATCAATCTGATTAATACTATAATATATGTGCATGACTACTTGATATTAGTTTTGCTTTATTCCTAAGTAAAGTGTTTGGATTTTAGAATGAAAAACTTTGGTGGACAGACAAACAGGACAAAACCAAATTATTTCCCCATATATATGTGAGGAGGGACATTGATTCTACAAAAATAGTGGTAACTTTGCATTTTTCCAAATTTTTATTTTCTAAAAAATTCTTTTCTTCTTTGAAATACTAATAATTCTGCTAACATTCTAATCAAAATTGGCACCTAAAAATTTCAACAAAATGTAGTAAATTTGGCTTTCTTTTCTATCATAAGTTTACAATTACCTGCTTTCTGTACCCAAAGTAGTAGCCCAAAAATACTAAAGGTGTAGAAATACCAAACCACATACACAACAGGGCTAACATGGTTGTAAATGGCAGCTGTGAAAAAAAAAGTCAATAATTATATCAATATGAAAGGAGTAAAATCTTTCATTCCTAGAAAACATTATAATATCTTTATCATTTATTTTTGCAAAGAAAATTATCAAACCAGGAGGTTTCAGCCTTTTTTATGCAATTTTAGTCATTGATACTACTGCTATTATAAAAAACTATAAATCTCGAATAAAGTACACAAAATGTGGAAAGAATATCAATGGTTCATACTATTTAAATCTATGCTTGAACTTTGAAAAGAACTCTCTCCATAACTTGATAATATACAAACTTACAGCTCCCGATGAATGTTTTCCCCAGATGAAAAAGTTCAACAAAAATGTAGTACCAAACATGATTCCTGGATACAAGGTGGCAGTCTAAAATAAAAACATCATAATGATATCAATAAGTTTTTCAAATAAAAAAATCTAGGTACATACATAGTATTTATCTTTATTGTTGGATCGAAGAAAAATTGTATTTTTCGTGGATATTTGATTTCGTGGTTATGTCAAATTTTGCTTACAAACCTATAGAAACTGCATACATCGTTGAATATTCAAATTCATGGTTCACCTAAAGCACGATACTCCAGGCAAAAATTTGTACCCCAGAAATAATATGATTACAAAATATGTTATATCTTATTGATTGGAAACTCTCACATTTGTAAATCACTGCCAGTGGCCTGAATTGTTACCTGTATGGCTGACTTTTTCCACTGTAATCCTTTCATTGTTTTATACAGCCTGGCTGAGAAGAAACCAGCAAAGACACTGTAAAATAAAATAAGTTGAACATCTTTAAAATTTGTTTTAACAAGTTGACAATACAGAGATATGTATGATAATGTTGTGTAAACCAATTAAGATAAAATAGGTTGGAATAAAGTATGCTAAAATCATCTTGTATTTAAAGAATCTAAAAGTATTATCTTAATTGGTTTATACAAGATTCTCATACATATCTCTGGCAGAATACATTTGCTTTCTGCTTAGAATATACAACCTCATTCAATTAATTCTTCAGATTCTTTTATTTATATCCTTATAATTTGTTTGTAAACTAGCAATATTAGATATTTCTAAACCACTTATTCTATAATATTGCATCATTTCATACATGTTCATTTAACATATTGATTTCAATTTACTATTTATTATTTTAAGGAACTAGATCTATAACAATTGATAATTATAGGTTTCATAACGAGTGAGAATTGGATATCCCTTGATATCAACTGGAGTTATTTAATTTCAATATAATAATAAACGAGCCTGTGGCGAGTTCAATATTACTATTCAAATTAAATAACGAGAGTCGATATCAAGCGATAACTAATTCTAAAGAGCTGTTAAACCTATTTTTCTTATGATCAACACTATTATTGTGTTAAATTAGAAATTCGGTGAATTGTTGATCCAGTCTTTTGCACATGTACCAGTATGAATCATATGTCCTTTTCCAATGTCAAACTTCCAACATCAGACAATTGAAAACTTTTTGTTCTCTTCATAATGTAATAAAATTTTACAAATAAAAGATTTCCAGGTGAAAAGTGTGAGTGTTTTGTATATTATTGAAGAAATCAGTATGTCATTACCATGGACGAAATGTACATCATCTTAACCTTTGAAACTTATAAATGACCTAATGAATAGCCAATGGAAATGTCATAATATCGTCTCATGATGCTGGATAAGCTAAACAAATAAACGGTTTTCGTATCATTTTTTCGTATCACATGAGATACATCTGTTCATGCAAGAAATAGATAACAGGCCACAACCATAAGACAACGTTAATTACAAAATTTCTCTTCATAATAAAAAATGAAAAGTATTCATTACCCCATAAAAACAAACAAGAAAATTGCAGCAGTCATTAGGGCTCCTCTTGATGCTGGTGATAACATTCCTAACATGGCAAAAACTACAATAGATAAACAATCAATAAATTGAAGATACAATCAAAGCTTTTACATTAAGTTTAAAAAAACTTTTATCAGTAAGGTAATGTCAATATGAATAAATTGCTTCGCCGAGCGCAGCTGGATATGACCGCAGAGGTCCAACCCTGAACAGTTGGGCTAAAAATGGACGCAATATTCACGCTTGATACAGGTCTGATTTGGATTGTAATTAAATATTTGACACATAAAAGGTTTCTGACACAGAATAACTGTAGTCAAAGACTTTAGAATTGGTTATATGATTTGAATTTATATTCAATTTTTTTCTTTTGTGCAATACACTTTGGTGTTGTGAATTGACACCCTCTCCCCCCACAAAAAAAAATAAAAAAATTTACCCCCCCTTTTTTTTTTGCTTTTGTGCAATACACTATGCTGTTGCGTATTAAACCCCCCCCCCCCCACACACACACACTTTTTTTTGCAAAAAAAATAATATTTGAAAAATTTTTCTTTTTAATTTCTGAAATCTGAAATGAGAAAAAATTGACACCCACAATTTCTTTTAACCCCCCCCCCCTTTTTTTCTCACAAAAAAATTCTTTCCCTCAAGATCTGGTCATAATCTCAATTCAAATTTCCAATGGAGTTTGCAACCATAATTACCCATTTAAATTTACCATAGTGCTAACTTAATCTATTTTATAATAGAATTTAAAATATGGTCTCAAATCTTTCATATGGATTTTTTTGTAAAAAAAAAAAGATGCAACATTTGCAGATATTTTTACTGGTCTTCCTTTATAAATATGCATTTCTTTAAATATATTTTAAAAGCAGTGTAGGGGGGTAATCAAAACGTATTTGGATTACCTCCCTTACACTGCTTTTAAATTGTCTTAATTGTTCATTAACCATTACTTTATACATAATTTAAAAGCAGTGTAAGGGAGGTAATCCAAATGATGTATTTGAATTACCTCCCTTACACTGCTTTAAATTATGTTTTGTACTAAAGTATTTGTCCATTAACCAGGACACCCTTGTTTTTCCCCCTTTTTTACCCCTAATTCCTAAACGTTTTGAGCCATAACCCCCCAAAGCAAATCCTAACCATCCCTTTGTGGTATGGAAACTTGTAGTATAATTTCAGAGCGATCCATACACCGTTCCACAAGTTATTGTCTGGAAACTAGAAAAATTTTTGGCCCCTAGTTCCTTAACTGTTGGTACCATAACCCCCAAAATCAATTCCAACCTTTCTTTTGTGGTATTGAACCTATGGTAAAATTTCATAGAGATCAATTCACTTAAACTAAAGTAATTGTGCGATAACCAATGTGTCTTCGGACTACGATGACGCCAACGCCATACCAATATACGACCGCAAAAAATGTATAAAATCAAATTAACCCAGAAAATAAAGTTCCTTTCTTACCTGATTTTTCTTTAAATAACATATCAAATTGAAATTCTCTTTGATCTTATCATTCTATCATTCAACCAATGTAACACGTGTTACAATTACACAGTACTGGAACTGAAGTAGGGAGATTTTCAGTGTTCAAAGGGGCATAATTCTAAAAAACTTACATTTAACAAAAAAACGGTATAGGGTACTGATTATTGCAAACCAGTGTTTATATGTAACTTGTAAAACTTACATATTGTGATGACTGCCATGGAAAATATCTGTACACCAGCACCAATAAGAGATGACAAAAGCTTGGTGTGTTTTGGTGGTCTGAAAACATCCCCATGAACCAACTTCCAACCAGTTTCTTCTAATGTTTCCTCCTATTTTATAACGAAAAATAAAACATATATCAATACACTGAGCCTTTTATACAAACACTTGATGTGTCTGTATGATATGATTGCCCCAGTCTGCAGCCTTATCACAAAAAGTTGGTCATTCTACACTACTGTATCTGAGAATCAGCTCCAGATCTGGACATTACAAAAAAGTCCAGACACATATAATTTTCATGAATTAAGTCCACATGCCATAATTTTGCCAAAAGTAAGTCAACCAGAAGAAAACACAAACTCGATCTGTATGTCATCATTATACACTAAGGTACCAAAAATCAGATCAATATCTGTAGGCCTATTAATAAAATGCTGGACAGCTGTGAGATTCCAGTATTACAACATGGGTAACACAAAATGCCACGGCCAAATAGTGTCAGGGGCATAAAAATAAAGAATTGAGAATTGAGAATGAAATTGTCCATAAAAATTAAGTCCCAACTTCTGCAATCAAGACTGTCAATAAATTGTCACAACATGTATCAACTCATGAGAGGAAAATCTTTCAGAAATTTTTTATTTATTCAAAAATACTTTTCAATGACTTTAATTCCACTACTTTCTTCAGATGAAATTAAATTAACTCTTTTTCAAGGAGTAACAATACCCAGGGATAACCTTACAGTAAGCCAGGGTTTTTTCTGTGTATTTTGGGAAAAAGGACCCTGGCCAGTTTTGGGAATTTTTTCATGCGCTTTTCAATGAAATTGGGAAAACAGCGAATATACCAGATTTGAGTTTAAGTGTGTTAGTTCATTAAAAGTTATCTTTTATTGTGAAAATAAAGTAAGAAACTTCCAGAATTTTACTGGCCCTTCAAAATTGAGAAGAAATTACCTCTTGGAATTGTAGTTATATGTTTACACTATAAAAACATCTACATGTTATATCAACATTTATTAATGATTTGGAAAATTATTGTCACATTTTATTGGATTTTGACATGAAAATTTATGAACTAAAAGTAATTTTGAGTTTCTGTATAAATTATTTCCTGCTTTTCCTTGTTTTCCCATATATCTTTTGGTTTTCAATTCTAGTGTTTATATTTCATCATCAACATGTATTTTGTCACCTGCCTGGAATTATTATTTTTTATTGTATTTGATCGGCAAACCCGGAATTACCCTTATCCGTCCCCGGAATTGACCCGGTATTGTAATTGTCTTCATTTCCGGTTTATGGCATCCATTGTTTTTCAATGTTGTTTTTGTCAGTCATATACGATTTTACTCGGATTTACACATTACTTGTTGGCGATTTTCGGCATAAAGCTAGCGGTTGAACAAAATGAACATTGCTGTCATGAATAATAAAGATGAAAATAAATTTTGAGATCGTTTGGGAATTTTGCTCCCAAAATTGGGAAAAATGTAGGGTATTTGCCATTGGGAATGGGTCCGAATACTGGACCCTGTGGAATGCTAGAAAAATCCATGTAAGCATATGGTAAATTTACATTTAATAAGTATTATATCTTTGCAAAACTTACCAAATCATCTTCTCTGTTGTATTTTGCAATATCCTTTCTCAATGTTCTCACCATGATCATAGTCAAAATACCTGCAATTCGAATAAATATATATTCATAGTCTAACCTTGTAACAAACAATTTTTACAAGGAGTTTAAAAGATATCTTGATAGATATGAGTAATATATTCTTCAAATGAGCCGCCTTTTCCCCCAGTCTTCACATTATTCCCTGTGGTTACCTAAATGTAGGTATTATTTCAGTATTTTACAATGAGATTGTAAGACATTTTATGACAGTATTTATTAATTTTGTTCGCACATTATAGATTTGTTATTTGTTTATTTTTTCCAGTATAAGTTTTCTTCAATGCACAGATGTAGGGTGATCATTATATTGTAAAGGTTTCTGCTCAAATGATATCATGGACCATTTCAAATTGGAAAGAGGTGTGATCTTTTTCTCCATGTTGGTCCTTTGAGATTTGAGATGAACAGCAATAGCAGTGTTTGTTCTTTTGATTTTGCTATGACATAATACACCATATGCTGTTTTTTTTTTCCTTCTATATGACAAAATAGTTCACAATGTAATAATTGTTTCATAAACCGATTTTTTTATTTGAGATATGAATAGGGTTTGTTTACCTGACAGAAATATGACAACAACAACAGAATTGATGATAGAGAACCAATGAATCTGTACATCACTCATTGTTAGGTAGATATCCCATCTAGAAGCCCAACGAATATCACTTTGGTGCCATTCAACTTCATAGGTAAACAAAATCTCAGTTGGACCTGCAATGGATAACATCAGATCAGTTTTAAAAAGTACATTTATCTTCAATTATGATTAACTTTTGTTTTATGTCAATTTTTAGTTTTAAAATTTCAATACTTTCTGAATGCTTTTTTCATGTTACTTGCATCATTTTAAAAGTTAAAATGTTACAGAATCCATATCTTGACCAATTTAAATAAAATTCCATAAACTGCTCTTGCATTATTCTATTTTTAATAATATTTATAATAAGATTTCTACTCATTATCTAGGTGTCCATACTATATATCCTGTATATTACTGAGCCAGTATTATTTAGGTGACCATACTATATATCCTGTATATCACTGAGCCAGCATTATTTAGGTGACCATACTATATATCCTGTATATTGCTGAGTCGGTATTATTTAGGTGTCCATACTATATATCCTGTATATTACTGAGTCGGTATTATTTAGGTGACCATACTATATATCCTGTATATTACTGAGTCGGTATTATTTAGGTGACCATACTATATATCCTGTATATTGCTGAGTCGGTATTATTTAGGTGACCATACTATATATCCTGTATATTGCTGAGTCAGTATTATTTAGGTGACCATACTATATATCCTGTATATTACTGAGTCGTTATTATTTAGGTGTCCATACTATATATCCTGTATAGTGCTGAGTCGGTATTATTTAGGTGACCATACTATATATCCTGTATATTACTGAGTCGGTATTATTTAGGTGACCATATTATATATCCTGTATATTACTGAGCCGGAATTATTTAGGTGTCCATACTATATATCCTGTATATTGCTGAGCCGGTATTATTTAGGTGACCATACTATATATCCTGTATATTACTGAGCCAGTATTATTTAGGTGACCATACTATATATCCTGTATATTGCTGAGTCGGTATTATTTAGGTGACCATACTATATATCCTGTATATTACTGAGTCGGTATTATTTAGGTGTCCATACTATATATCCTGTATATTGCTGAGCTGGTATTATTTAGGTGACCATACTATATATATCCTGTATATTACTGAGTCGATGTGATAACCTATTACAGAACACTCTGTCGTATTTATCTTTCTCATTGATTGGTTGTGGTGACTATATATCCTGTATATTACTGAGTCGATGTGATAACCTATTACAGAACACTCTGTCGTATTTACCTTTCTCATTGATTGGTTGTGGTGACTATATATCCTGTATATTACTGAGCCGATGTGATAACCTATTACAGAACATTCCGTCATATTTACCTTTCTCATTGATTGGTTGTGGTGACTATATATCCTGTATATTACTGAGCCGATGTGATAACCTATTACAGAACACTCCGTCATATTTACCTTTCTCATTGATTGGTTGTGGAGCTGCATCTTTAATTTTACATTTACCATCTGCTTCTTTATCATAGTTTTTGCTACCCACACTGTAGGAAAAGAAGTTAAGTAGAAAATTAGGAAATTCAAGTTCAAAGTTAAAATTAAAGGACGTCACAATTAATCAAATAAAATGCTCCGCAGGGCGCAGCTTGATACGACCGCAGAGGTCGAACCCTGAACAGTTGGGGCAAGTATGGACACAACATTCAAGCTTGATACAGCTCTGAATTTGGATTGTGATTAAATATTTGACACAGCATAGGTTTCTGACACAGAATGAATGTGGTCTAAGAACTTAAAAATTTTAAATTGGACATTCACCTATTATGGTCCAATATCCAAAATCTAAATACATGGTTAGATTCAGCATATCAAAGAACCCCAAGAATTCAATTTTTGATGAAATCAAACAAAGTTTAATTTTGGACCCCGATTTGGACCAACTTGAAAACTGGGCCCATAATCAAAAATCTAAATACATGTTTAGATTCAGCATATCAAAGAACCCTAAAAATTCAATTTTTGTTAAAATCAAACTAAGTTTAATTTTGGACCCTTTGGACCTTAATGTAGACCAATTTGAAAACGGAACCAAAAATTAAGAATCTAAATACACGGTTAGATTCGGCATATCAAAGAACCCCAATAATTCAATTTTTGATGAAATCAAACAAAGTTAAATTTTGGACCCTTTTGACCTCAATGTGGACAAAGTTGATAACGGGGCCCAAAAATCAAAAATCTAAATACATGGTTAGATTCAGCATATCAAAGAACCCCATATATTCAATTTTTGTTGAAATCAAACAAAGTTTAATTTTGGACCCCGATTTGGACCAACTTGAAAACTGGGCCCATAATCAAAAATCTAAATACATGTTTAGATTCAGCATATCAAAGAACCCTAAAAATTCAATTTTTGTTAAAATCAAACTAAGTTTAATTTTGGACCCTTTGGACCTTAATGTAGACCAATTTGAAAACGGAACCAAAAATTTAGAATCTAAATACACGGTTAGATTCAGCATATCAAAGAACCCCAATAATTCAATTTTTGATGAAATCAAACAAAGTTTAATTTTGGACCCTTTGGACCTCAATGTGGACCAATTTAAAAACGGGGCCCAAAATCCAATTTCTTGCTATTGTGCAATATTGTGCTATTGGATATTTCTTGCTATTGCGCAATACTGTGCAATTGAAGATTTCTTGCTATTGCGCAATACTGTGCAATTGAAGATTTCTTGCTATTGTGCAATACTGTGCAATTGAAAATTTCTTGCTATTGCACAATACTTATTAGATAATAATTTACACATCCTGTTTGGTGTGTATCTCCTACCATATCATTATTATTTGCTTTTAAATATTAATCAGAAATAACCAACTTAAAATGGAAAATTTTAAAAGAAAAAAAAAAGGAAAAAAAGAAAAAAAAAGAAAAAAAAAAAATCCCCCCCCCAAATTTTTTGAACCCCCTTATGATTCATCACCCCCAAACTCAATCCCAGCCTTCCCTTTGTGCGGTATGGTACCTTGCAGTACAATTTCAGAGAGATCCATACACTTGAACACAAGTTATTGTCTGGAAACTAGAAAAATGCTTATTTTTGGCCCCTTTTTGGCCCCCAATTCCTAAACGTTTCGGGCAATTACCCCCAAACTCAATTCCAGCTTTCCCTTTGTGATATGGAACCTTGTAGTACAATTTCAGAAATATCCAAACACTTACACACAAGTTATTGTCATGAAACTAGAAAAATGCTTGTTTTTTGCCCCTTTTTTGGCCCCTAATTCCTAAAATTTTGAGGCAATTACCCCCAAAATCAATTACAGCCTTTCCTTTGTAATATGGAACCTTGTGGTACAATGTCAGAGAGATCCATACACTTACACACAAGTTATTGTCTGGAAGTTACAAAAATGCTTATTTTTGGCCCCTTTTTGGCCCCTAATTCCTTAACTGTTGGTACCATAACCCCCAAAATCAATCCCAACCTTCCTTTCGTGGTATTGAACCTTATGGTAAAATTTCATGGAGATCCATTCACTTAAACTAAAGTTAGAGTGCGAAAACCAATGTGTCTTCGGACGACGCCGGACGACGCCAGACGACGACGACGACGACGACGACGACGACGCCAACGTCATACCAATATACGACCAAAAAATTTTTAATTTTTGCGGTCGTATAAAAATTTGTAAGGGTTCCGCGGAACCCATTGTCTCACATACTTTTGCTGTTAGTCGCAGGCTCAACTAAAATGGGGAACAAATTATTAAAAATTTTCCTCTAGATACTATCTTTTGATTGTAAGTAGCTTCTAACCAAATTTGGCAAAAATCCAGGAGGGTTTATGAATCAAATAAATGTTTTAAAAACTTTAACTGCAGACTATGTAATATTAACTGGAAGAAAAACTAAGTCCATTTATAAGTAATATACAGAAAAACAAGAAATAAATTTTTACAAAATTTTCATCTAGATACTAGGTTTTGATCATAAACAAGCTTCTGTCCAAGTTTGGTACAAATCCAGGATAGTTAAAGAAAGTAATTAAAAGTTTAAAAACTTTAACCACAGAGTGAATGTAATGTTAACTGGCAGAAAAACTAAGTCCATTTATAAGTAAAATACGGATAAACAGGATTTTTTTTTACAAAATTTACTGCTGGATACTATCTTATGATCATAAACAAGCTTCTGTCCAAGTTTGGTACAAATCCAGGATAGTTTTAGAAAGTTATTAAAATTTCAAAAACTTTAACCACAGAGTGAGTGTAATGTTAACTGGCAGAAAAATTAAGTCCATTTATAAGTAAAATATGGGTAAACAGGATTTTTTTTAACAAAATTTACTGCTGGATACTATCTTATGATCATAAACAAGCTTCTGTCCAAGTTTGGTAGAAATCCAGGATAATTTAAGAAAGTTATTAAAATTTCAACAAGAGTGCACACGCTGAAATGTCTCGTCTTCTTTACTAACCATTGATATTATGTTGATAGTCCTAAATATAAAGCTTTACTACAACTATCACATAAACTTAACATGATCCAAGAAAATGAGGTCAAGGTCATAAAAACCAAACGAAAAATACATGTACACCCTACAATCATTCAATACACTAAATATAGTTGACCTATTGCTTATAGTTTCTAAGAAACAGACTTAACCAAGAAAACTAAACATTGATCAATGAACCATGAAAATGAGTTCAAGGTCAGATGAACCATGCCAGGCAGACATGTACAGCTTACAATCCTTCCATACAACAAATATCGTTGACCTATTACTTATAGTTTAAGAAAAACAGACCAAAACACAAAAACTTAACACTGAGCAATGAACCGTGATAATGAGGTCAAGGTCAAATAAAACCTGAGAGACTGACATGTACATCATAAAATATTTCCATACACCAAATATAGTTGACCTATTGCATATAGTAATAGAAAAAAAGACCAAAACTCAACAACTTAACTTGACCACTGAACCATGAAAATGAGGTCAAGGTCAGATGACACCTGCCAGTTGGGACATGTACAATTAAATTTAATTTCTACAGTGATGGACACAACAAATAATTAAGTTTACAGGTAAGTGTCATAACAGAATAACAATGAACTCTCACCTTTTTGCTTCAATTTCAAATCCTACAACTCTGTATGTCAACCTGGAAATAAAACAGAATGTTAACTTCATTCAACACAAACATAATAACAAGAAATTCTGTACCAGGAGTTCCCTGCTTGACTCTTAAAAATAGTTCATTATTTTGAATAACTATCAGAAAATATCTCAAAATTATTTTTTATTACAGGCCTTATTTTGAATATCTTTTAATATAAACAGCTAAATCTGACTTGGCACTTGGCAGGAACTTGTACATTAAATTACTCTCTTTACAGAATAATCTAAAAATATCCCATTCATGAACACAGCCTGCAACAATAAATCTCCATGTAAGAGGCAAGTATTTCTTTTTCAATTGTCAAAGAAATTTCACCACCTGTACTGTTTATAATATTACTGGATGAAAAGTACAGCCGCTGATCAGAATGAGGGATGGTACAATTTCATATCATCAGGTTATGCACTTTGTACTTATATTTATTAACTGTAAGAATTCTTTATTATTGTATTGCTTATACCTCTGTTTTTGTTATCTATTTTACCATTATTGCACACGTAAAATGATGAAGTGTTTTTCCTGTATGTATTTTCAATATATGTACTTCATAAAACCACTGATTGAGATTAAAAGGAAATAGGTTGATAATAAGACTGTGTGATTTTAGAGCCTGACATATTGTATAGACACTTTTCTTTGCTAAAGACCATATTTTGACATCTATTTATCGGTTGGTTTTTTAGTCATTGGGTTGCTGTCTGTAGGACAAATACCCCACATCTTCTTTCATTGATATGCCTGCCAAAACATGTGTGAGGAATAACATAAGATGGTCTTGTCAATCCTACAACACAATTTCACAATAATACCCTTATCATTATCCCAATGGGATATTTATTATCTAATATGTAAGGACTATTCCATTAAATAGATATATCATGTATACAGGTTTTTATGTGTTTCACTGTAAATCCAGTCACTGTTGACAAAAATAAAAGAAATTAGACATTGGAAAAATAGGACCTTAAACCCTTATATCCACATTATAACTAACATAAAGGTTTTAATTTACAGGTTGGCTGACTAATTAGATATTTCCAAGCAAGATATTCCCATATTCAAACCTCCAAATGACAGGGATACATTCTGACATTCACTTATTTGTTGCCAGTTAATAAATGAACTAAATACTGTCATTTTTCAATTTAAACATTTTTATAATGGATAAATTACACAACTGAACTATAACCCTATCACTAGTTACAGAAGTAACATGGGAATACTTACTGGTCATCTGAGTGGTACTTCAACACAAACTTCAAATGATTGTTTATATAAGCCTGCAATTATAATATAAAACATTCATTAACATTAACTTCAATAGAAAACATAGACAACATCAGTTAAGACTAAGTGATTCAGAAGTGTTCTGTCTAAGTATGCAATCATCATAGATCTGTGGTGACTCATCACAACAGACACAAAGTTCAATCATTCTTAATTAAAACAAATTAACAAATAAAACAAATCTTACCATGTATGTATACAGTGATAAAATAGATAGATACTTAAACTCTGTGAAACATTACTCCATTGTATTACAGTCAAGACTGCACTGTCATCATTATCACATGCATTTAAATGGAAAATAACACATGTGGTCATTTTCACTTTTCAGCCCAACAATTTTAACACTTAAATCTTTACAATACCATCTTCAAGTAATACGTAATAGAATTTTAGAAGTTTTAGTATCTGTCAATTTTACAACTGTATAAATGTAAATTATTGAATGCTTCAATATCTAATGAATGTCACAAGTAAATCAACTACTAATTGACTGTGACAGCAGTTAGAGATATAACTTAGAGACTTATGAGAATTAATCATGTGTATATTATATATGCACATTTTCAAAATGAAATTATTTGGTCAAAACTGTAAGTGCACGCTTAATACTCTTGAATTTGGCCGAAAAATTTCCAAAGACATTGAAATTTCAGTTCAGAAGTATTTAAGTTATCAGAGGTATAAAAAAAAACACTGAGAAACTAGGATATGCTAACGTAAGCCAAGTTTTCTTTCTCTGCTTAACTAATGTGGCACATCAGTCAGCTAGAAAAGCCGTTTGATTTTTATCATACTAGCTCATAAGGTAATAATAAACAAGAAAACATTTCACCTAACTGGACAAATTATTTTATCTTAGAACTGACCAGTCTTTTCTTTTAATTCTCAATCCTGCCTACTTGACAGAGAAGCAACAAATATCAATTTAAAGTCTTTGGTTTATCTCAACCTTTCTTTGACATATTAATAAAGAAGACCTTTTTAATACATAACACATACCACATTATCTTTTTCAAATCCCAGTCTATACCCATGTTCATACTGTATTTGTCCAGTCTCCATTAATTCAAACTTTGTAGCACAAGGGAGATTGTCTACTATCCTAAAATATACAGATACTTCAATATGTATCATGCTACAGACTTCAAAAAATAAAATATGTATAGCAATATACACTGATGTTGTTATTCATTCTGACTGGAATTTTGTGTATTATGTTGCCATTTAGTGCACTGTAATGATTTTGAAAGCAAAATGGGTATTTCCTCTTTTAGTTTATGAAGAATTTTTACAATGAAGACACAGAGATGACTAAATATTATCAAAAGCAATAATAAATTCCTTCTATGACTGACGATCATGCATATTATTTTTAACCTGTTACATGAAACATTAGACTGAATGTATTCGATAAGTTTTTATTTTATGTATTGATTTAATACAGCTTAAAAAAGGAATCATTTTTATAAGAATGGCAGAACAAACATTTTGTCCAAGTAACTATTTTATTTCCCCTTTTTTTTTATTTGATACAATATTCAGTTTTTTGTCAACATAAGGAGACATTTAACAAAACAGGTATACACTGTTGGTTTATTACTTACAAATGAACAAAGTAAGAATGTTTAATTCTCTCTGCCATTTCTTTTGATTGTTTTTCAGAGAAGGTCTTCTGATCGCAGAGAACAGAACATCCTTTTGGTGTAGCCATCTGGATCTACAAAACATATTAATATAACAGTGCCCTTAAACAATCAAAGCACACAATGTAAATAGTTCAAATTAGAGTATCCTATTTATTATGATATTTGGTGTAGAACTGATGAGACTAAATATAAATGTAGTGTAAACACAGGGTAATACTATAAATATAATGTGTACTACTTAATTACTACAGTATTATTTAATGATATATAAAAATGATTTCATTAATAAAAATATTATTAATATAAACAGTAGTTTGAACATATAAGCTTCTTAATAAACAATGGATAATATAGTGTGGTCATTTTGTCATCCATTTCATTACCAGTCGTATTTTTATCAATACAAATGACTTTTATGTCTACTATGAATTGGTTTAAACCCCTTTCCAAGAGATTTTACATTTTGTTCCCAGTTGTGCTTTTATACCACTATGATCTATCACCAGTAAGGCCATGGGTTGAGCCCTCACTAACATGTTAAACAGGTCCAAGTAAGGAGCCTGTAATTCAAAGGTTGTCAATAGTTGCTGTCTTGCAGTATTTGTTTTATATTTATTTTCATAAGCATAAATCAGGCCGTTGGTTGTCCCTTTTGAATTGTTTCAAATTTTGTTTTGACAGGGCCTTTCATAGCTACTATACAGTTCTGGCTTTGCTCATTGTTGAAGCCTGTTTGGTGACAGATAGTTGCTTACATCTTTGTAATTTGGTCTCTGGTGGATAGTTTTCTCATTGACAATCATACCAAATCTCCTTATTTATAGATACTGTAAGCTGTTTAACTGATAAAGGTAAAATTTTATCTCTAAATTTTCTTATTAAATATAATTTTGTAAATTGTAGTGAGATTTTTTGTAAAAATATTTCTTCTCATCAATACAAATCAACACAAAGTTTTTCTGTACATCTGTCGGGTTTCTGTACATCTGTCGGGTATATTGTTTGCTTTCTATCATGTTTACTGTGAAGAAAAACTCTTAGAAGCCATACTTACTTGGTAGGGAGTGTTTACAATTCTGTCACCTCTAAGAACTTCTCCTAAAATTAGAAGATATGAAAAGGTATTACATGATGCATTTTTTCAATTAGAAGACAGGAAAACCCTTATAAGAGATCACTTAATAATTTACTCTATGATTTTGCCTTTCAAGACTTGTGTTTATATAAACAGTGATTTCCTAAGCTGATCAATGTATCATATACTTTGGGGTTAGGCTAAAGTTTGCATACAGGCCTTTAGAAAATTGGTATTTCAGTTGAACATTTAAATAAGTAATTTACCTATACCCATGAAATCAACAAAAATTGGTATCCATCACATTATAATGATTCAACCAGGGATCACCACAACCTATTTAAGGATGGCGGTGCACCACGCTAAAATTTCTAGCACCACGTTAAAATTCCCAGCGCCACGCTTATTTTATTGTCCGCCACACTTGAAAATTCAATAGATTGAAGTTAAATTTCAGATATCACTAATCCAATTATCATGTCAGTGGCAATTAAGAAGTCGAATTATTGTTAATTGCCTCAAGGGATGTACACTGACAGCTGATTATATTATTTACATGGTCTCGCGTGATTGAACAAGGTAACAACCAATGAACGATTATGACCCAGTTTCTTCAATTTGAAAAGTAAAACTTGTTTGTAAACTACCGTTATTTTATAAATGCATATGTTTGACTACACCTTAAATGGAATGTTTATATCCTAACTAGATTTATAAAAGCAGTAATCCAGAAAACAAATGGATTCCCTGACCACATGGTCCTTTTGTTGACAACAATGTCACATGATCTCTTTTGGCGGGGAAAATACTGGGGAATACCTAAATAACAGACAAACAATGTCTGGTTATTTTTACTTATCTTAAAACTTATTTAAAGTAAGAAAAGAGTAAAACTGGATATGTAATTCTTTACACATTTGTATTGGAAAAGAGGGGAGTTAATTTAATAAAATTCTACATAACACATATGATTTTATAAACTGCTAGGTAGGCTTAATTTGGTTGAAATGACTGAAATTCTGTGACTGAATATTTATTTTTATTATTAATTTCTTTATCTTTTTAGACCTTTTTACCATGTGGTTTTCCATAAGACAATTTAGATAAAATTTGTCAGAATATTCCTGCAATCTGGGAAGCCACATCAGGTGTTTACTCTCCCTGTTTAATATATTCCTACAAGTGTGGTGACCACTAATAGGACCAACTACAAAATCTGTGTGAGACCCCCTTTCCAAATTAGCTATATATATGACAAATACATGTAAGGCATATAATTAATTATTCATGCACAAGGAATCGATTCGACAACGCAACACAAAATCTCTGATTTGATGAACTTTCTCCCCCACCCTTGATTTTCATTCTGTGGTGAACCCTGTCAACTGTATCAAATTTATCTATTTTCTGATTTTGCCACATATAAAATATAACAACATAAAAAAGCAACTTGCCTGATAATATCAACTTCAAGTATGTATACAATATTTTAAAGCTCTGTCAAAATTGGACATCAATAGGTTATATATATGTCAACTAGTCAAATATATTATTTCTGCTTACTGTTGCATAGTGTTTGACAACTACACTTCTTCTTTTTAAATAATTACCCCATATAAAACATCACAAAGATTTTGATGCTACTCAAAATATATTACATAAGAGCATACTTAAATGTTATTAAGTAACTATAGTATATCAGTCTGAGATGACAATTTCACCTTTTGTCATTACCATTATTTGACATACAGATTGCTAGCATGTAAATTTTTCATCAGGCCAAAATAAATTAATAGTGTGTTTCCTATTTCACCTCCAAAAAAAATAGGTAGGGTAGGTAGGTAAAACATTTTATTTTATGAAAACATTTTATTTTTTTTTTATTGATGGGTCGACAGCAGAAAAAAGTTCCAAATCAAATAGTTTGATGTGCGGGCTTCTCTGATATTTAGAATAGTAATTAAATCAACAGCTTTTTTAAATTTTCTGTTTTAGTTCTGCGTCAGAAAATGAGAAATATGAAAATAAACCTTAATGAAAATTTTGTGCATTTCATTGGTCGTAAAAAGAAAAGTGTATGTTCTTCATGATTAATTATCTTAAACCAAAAATGGCAGTGAAAAATCTGGCATGGTATGTTATTATGTTGGGCCTCGTTGAACCTAAAAATGTAAATGTCACACAGGGTATACATGTGGAAGCAGATTAGTACCCCTTGAAAACACTGAACCGATGCTAAGCAGCAGATAATTATGATTTTTTGAGGGTTAATACTCTGCCCTTGCACCCTCTTTATTTAATATACAGATGTGTTTTGATGTTTGACAGAATATGATGTTGATTGAAGATTGGGTGGTTCTGACAATATTAAAATTCCAGGTTCTGAGAAGAGTGAGAATGTGAAATCTTTGTCTTATTAATGAGGGTAGTAATGCCCTTTACCGTCAGGCGTCAAACGGTCATTTTCCGCTACCGTTAGCATCAAATTGGTTAAAATTTTACCTTAATTCATCAAAATATCCATATCGTGATTCTTCAGAGCAAGGATTTGTATACTATACAAATCCTTGGTCAGAGGTCTCAAATAATTATCGTTACCGTTATTTTTGGAAAAAAATTTACGTGATTCGTCAAAATCAGTTGATTTTTTTACCGTCTAAACATGCTAAAAAAAGTGTACATTTTAATGTCATGCACCAAAAATTACCGTTAACGTCGTTTGGCAAGATTTTTAAGCGTTATTCTGTCTACATATAATTGTTCTGCCTAACAGAAGTTCCACTGGAAACTTTGTTATAACCAATGTCATAATATCTGTTCCTGTTGGAACAAATATTCTATACCATTCATTCCGTTAGGAACATATACTGTAATATTTATTCCAGTGGAAATAATATTCCAAAACACTTTTTCCATTTGAAACTTCTATTATGAAGGAACTTCTATTTTGTGACCATTCGTCATGAAGGTACCTCATTAATCTACTGGTCAAATAAATTGAAGATGTAAATATGACAGGATTTTTTCCCTTTTCTTGTATAAATTGTTATGGGACCAGCCAGAGAAATAAAAAAGAATAAAAGTAGACATGGTGCTGGGGCAGAGTCATTTATAAATGAATATGAATCATACACCATGTCTGCCTACTGGGGAAAGCTTCTCAAGTTTCATCTTTCTCGTTCCACATTGTCTGTCCCCTTGCCATCATAAACTAAAAAGCATTAACAGCCGTTTATGTTGCGTCCTGGGCACAATTCTGTACAACATTCGTAAGAGCATGTTTTACAACAAAAGCTGGATTGATTTTAGCAGTAAATTTGAACTCATTTTACTATAAAATTGTTAGTCAATTTACCGACAGATACAGTCTGTCCAACCTGAAACGATTCTGACTTTTGGTCCAAAGAAGCACAGGTACAAGACGAGATTTAGTTAATATATGTATATATACTGAATACACTACATTATATATACAAAAATTTAAATAATCTCGCTTGTACCTGTTCAAAGAAGTTGAGCAAAGTGCGTCAACTTCCTATTTTTTCATCTATAGGTCCGCTTGATGTTCTTCAAAAAGATTCATCATATCGTAATTATCCGGATCGATGTCATTATATTTTGCGTCCATGTGATCACATTTCGCATATTTGACAGCTAATACGCTACACGGTAGCCGAAAAGCCATGCTTGTTTATTTAAAATCTTGGTCCTTGAAACGCTTTACTTATCAATATTGGTCGTTATTATCAAACGCTTTGAAGATCTATAGTATTCTAAACGAATAATCGGAACTGGACAGACTGAAAAATCTGGATTTTGAATTTTTATTTTTGTCAATAAAATGTTTAGGGTCGGCGTCGGAAACGGAGGTAGGGTCGGGAAACCGGAAACACACCATTTATTTATTTTGGCCTCAGGCCAAATAAAAATATATGTGTGGTTCCAGTTACCCAACTGACCCTAGAACTCTCTTTCCATTTCTGAAAAATAAATTTTGAACGATCCCATTTGTGGAATGTGAGTTTCAATAATTAAATTCACAGACTTCTGTCATCTGAATTTCAATTAGAAGTATCCACTTCTGCTAAAATTGCAACAAATTCTTAACAGAATGCAACAAAATTAACTAAAAACGTAACATGTCTGTTTATGTTACAACCAAACATAAAGAAAATGACGGACTTCCAGTAGGGGGCGTTTATTATGGGAATCGGACTCGGTGAACACACAATTTTTTTCCCTGGATTTTGACAATCTAAAAAAAAAAAAATGCTGACCTACTAATCTTATTTTTTTTCCAGGATGTTACTGGAACCACACATATATTTTTATTTGGCCTTCACAGAATTATACAGCAACTTATGTATATAATTTTTACCAAGATTTTCTGCTTTATAGTCTTTTCCACCTAGAGGTTCACAGAATGGTGATGAATAGTAGTCAAATGGCAGCTGTGTTTTTACACTGGTCATTTTGACAGCCTACAAATTAGAATTAATACCATTATCGTGAAAAAAAAAGCTTCACCCAGCAATACTATTACCACATATTAAAATTTTGAAGTAATTAAGTTAGTTTGAATATCTCTCCTTTAACATGTAGGACCAAGAATATATTCCACTATCATGACTATGCACATTCCTGGGTAGTATTATTTTACAATTTTGTAGTGTCATCAATAATCATTTGGCATGTTATAAAAAATGTGCATACAATACACATGGACAGACAGACATACTTTGTAAGGGGTAGGACTGTTATTCATAACTTAATATTGAATGGACAATGATGGAAGCTTAGAAAATGAAGGAATTGTGACAGTCATTTTGAAGTCATTACAAACCACTTGAAATGTCAATCATTTCACCATAAAATTCTATTGTGTTTATATATCAAGGATTTTTTTCAAAACTTTTTAATGATTTTTAATATTGTAGTAGAGGTGATAAATTTTTTACCACATATTGTGAAATAATATTAAGAAACTGGTAAAACGACATCCTGAGGTGATATATTACAATTCTTTACTTTCCCTTGTTCAATTAATGAAATTTTGGTTTATCCACTGAAATACTGTTTTCCACAAGATAAAGCAACAGAATGGTTTTAGAACCTTAATATATACTATAAAGAATGTCTTACCCTAACTTCTACCACCTCTTCTCTGTTAAATTCTACAGGAGCTACTCCTGGTACATAGAATCCATCACAGTGGGTAGCCATAATAACAACCTGAAATTAAGACAAAATAATTTAACAGGGTAAGGCATCCTTGACATTTGTCATCTTATTTACCTGAGAAAATGTTCATCCATTTTACGAGCAATGAAGTCAAAGAAACCTGTCCATCCTATTATCATAATACAACTGATTTAAATGGTTAGTAAGGATAAGTAAAACACACCACAAAATCAATGTATACAAATGTAGGTGATAGAATGAATGTCTTTTTTTTAACAAATTCATTTTGAATACTCAATAGTCTGTCAACATGGTCAATTATGTAATTGACCCATAACTTAGAGATCGAATTGTTTTAGTTGTTTCCTTTAGGAGTAACCTATAAAATTTTCATTAACAATGAAGAGCTAGCAGATATGATCAAATTTATCTGAGCATAAATTGTGCAAACTTTAGGTTTTTCAAATCTCTCAAGTACATTTAATCTTTAATTAAGCTAAACACTTTAGATAAAATTGAGAATGGAAATGGGGAATATGTCAAAGAGACAACAACCCGGCCAAAGAGCAGATAACAGCCGAAGGCCACCAATGGGTCTTAAACGCAGCAGGAAAATCCTGCACCCAGAGGTGGTCCTCAGCTGGCCCCTAAATAAAAATGTGTACTAGTTCAGTGAAAATGGACATCATACTAAACTCCAAAACATATAAATGAACTAAAATTAAAAAACATACAAGACTAACAAAGGCCAGAGGCTCCTGACTTGGGACAGGCGCAAAAATGCGGCGGGGTTAAACATGTTTTGTGAGATCTCAACCAGGGCTTCCAAAATTATTTTTAGCCAGCCGGACATTTTATATATTATCCCGATTTTAATCCCTTAAGACTAAATAAACAAAAGGCAATTATGGTATTCAGTTGCTGAGTTGGCCATCCCAATGATTGACATTAAAAAAAAAACCATATTAAACTTTCTTTGATTCAAATTCGAAGTTCTGACGTAAACTGTTAAATTGGCAGTGCATCATTTGAAGTGTGCAACATCAGCGTACTTATATCTGCCTTAGACTCTTTATTTGTGCAAAATAACGTTGCCAAAAACTTTACATTCGTTAAAATCTTATACCGGATGTTATCTTGACAATGGTAAAACATGGACCAGAGACGGATACGTAAATTCCGTGTACGTTTGCAAAGCATGAATGAGTGTACGTAGCTCTTTCTACGTTATTTATTCAAGAAAATATTCGAAATAAACGTGACATAAAGGTATCAATGACAATTTAAGCATTTTTTGAAGAAATTAGGATGCATAATTAAATTTCACACCTGCGCACACGTGTACTAGTTCAAACAGAGACATGTCTCTGGTTCAAACAAACGTGGTTATGACGATTTTTCATTTTCACCTTTTTAATTTTTTCATCAAATCATATTTGTAAACGTATTTCTGATAATATAAATCTTTTTGACTAAATTAATTAGATGCAAACCGCTGAAATGTAAGAAAATAACTTTGAATAGACCGATCAATGTCCGGTTCAAAATAGTTTACCTGTCACCTGAACAGGTAAATTTCAGCTGTTCGACAACTAATTAGCCTTGATTAAAATGAGAAGGTATTAAAGTAGGGGTTGTTTTGATAGTACTTAGTGATCATGTCACTTTTATGACCGGAAATGTGTGGCTGTTAAAGGCAAAAGGTTGGGTCAAAAAGATCGCGAATTATGTTAAAATGACCGTCTCTTAAGAAAGCCTTTAAAACTAAAAAGTAGATGACCGTTTCATGCTTTGCCCAGCCGGACTTTTACCGGACATTATACAAATGTCCGGAATATATGACCGTTTTGGAAGCCTTGATCTCAACTCTCCCCCTATACCTCTAGCCAATGAAGAATAATGAAACACACAGCGATACGCACAGTAAAACTCAATTTAAAAGAAGTCCAAGTCCGATGTCAGAATAGGTAACAAAAGAAACTAAGCAAAATGACAATGATACATAAATTAACAAAGGACTACTAGCAGTTACTGACATGCCAGCTCCAGACCTCAATTAAACTGATTGAAAGATTATGTCTTTATCATATGAAAATCAAGTACAATCCCTCCCATTAGGGGTTTAGTATCATACCATCATAAAATATATGAGAAGAACATAACCTGTATCATGCCAATATATGATATAAATGTATCAGTAAAATAAAACAGGTTTTTCCTGTTGCATGCCCCTAAAAAATAGAGTGGGTGGGTCAGGATTTCTTTTTCATCTATCTCATCATGAACTGCTTTGATCAGTTGTTCAAATCTTTTGAGTGTGAATCTGTCATGAACGTTTAATATCAGTTTGTGGTTGCATTTTATCAACTGAGTTGTGACTCTGTGAGCACACTAGTTGAAATGTATAAGCTGGGCATTTGTTTCTTGTCATTTATGGTCGCAAAAAAAAAGACACTTTTACAAATAGCACTTGTTAGACCCAGATGATTTGGGACATGCTAGAGGAAGAACTTTTTAATCACAACAAAAGTTATAGATTTTTTATTGAACTACTTTTTTTTCAGATAAAAGTTAGGTCAATTCTATAAATACGAGTGGGACAAGTGACTGGAATCATACCTATCTTTTTTGTTGGCCTCAGTAAGCCTTCATTAAAAAATTGGTTAAAACACCTATCTATCACTTTCAACTTATTATGCTTGCATAGGCAGGAGTCATCAATTTTGTCTGGTATAGAATAAAACTACAATTGTCTGACAAAGGGAAACAACTTTGTTAAAGTGTGTAGAAACAGAATAAATAATTTGTAAATAGACGATTGTCATAGTGTTGTGTTTGAGCTAAAAACTGAAGACAGTAGGGCATTCCAACAAAATAAGCATTTGTGTGCAATTAACATGTTTACAGCAAATTTAAAACTTAGCTAAATATTTCTTAAAACAATATTTTACAATCATAATTCGTTTTTTAATTCAATAATTGAATTTAGCAACTGCCAACTTTGACCCATACTCCAAAAAATTCGTAAGGGTTCCGCGGAACCCAGTGTCTCGCCTACTTTTGCTGTTAATCGCAGGCTCAACAAAAATGAGGAAAAAAATTAATAAAAATATTCCTCTCTATACTATATTTTGATTGTAAGTAGCTTCTGTCCAAGTTTGGTAAAAATCCAGGATGGTTTTTGAATCTAATAAATGTTTTTAAAACTTTAACTGCAGACTGTATGTAAAGTTAACTGGAAGAAAAACTAAGTCCATTTATAAGTAAAATATGGAACAAAATGGAACAAAATTTTATCAAAATTTCCTTCTAGATACTAGCTTTTGATCATAAACAAGCTTCTGGCCAAGTGTGGTACAAATCCAGGATAGTTTAAGAAAGTTGTTAAAATTTTAAAAACTTTAACCACAGAGTGAATGTAATGTTAACTGGCAGAAAAACTAAGTCCATTTATAAGTAAAATACGGAAAAAATGGAATTTTTTTTTTACAAAATTTACTTCTGGATACTATCTTATGATCATAAACAAGCTTTTTCCAAGTTTGGTAGAAATCCAGGATAGTTTAAGAAAGTTATTAAAATTTCAAAAACTTTAACCACAGAGTGAATGTAATGTTTCCTGGCAGAAAAACTAAGTCCATTTATAAGTAAAATACGGAAAAAATGGAATTTTTTTTTTACAAAATTTACTTTTGAATATAATCTTATGATCATAAACAAGCTTCTGTCCAAGTTTGGTAGAAATCCAGGATAGTTTAAGAAAGTTATTAAAATTTCAAAAACTTTAACCACAGAGTGAATATTTGTGGACGCCGCCGACGGAATGTAGGATCGCTATGTCTCGCTTTTTCGACAAAAGTCGAAGGCTCGACAAAAAGCTTTCAAAATGAGAGTTTATTTTCACCTCCACCATGTAAAAAAACACGGGAGAGTTACGAAGGAGAACAGCTCAATCTGGATCTTTAGGTGTAATACCACCAAATCATAGTATGTCACATCCGGTTGCATATGAAAAAGGGTTGAAAAAAAAATTCCCTTGAATTTGACAGTTGTAGGAAATTAATCCTATCCTCAATTATTGGAAGTTCGTTACCCTAACTCGAAACAGATGAAAAAAATCACAACCTTGGAGCAAATATTATCCACTGTAAATGTAAATATTCTTTACTTATTTGCAAACAGTCTGATACACTTCATTGATGACTAGCTTCAGAAACATCGTCAATCTGTCTATGTTTCGTATTGTGACCCAATTCCGTAAAATAAGTAGACATGCTTGTAAGTTCGTGACCTTTGTCTTGGACGGTGGCTTTTGCGCATGTGCAACAATACATAGGTCAGGCATCTTGATTTATGTATTTGAACATTACAGAATAAATTAGAGATCAAATTACAAATGAATATCTCGATAAAAAGAGAAATTGGGACAAACTAACTTTTTTATTCTCCCTACAACATGGACAACAATTATTCTAATTTTTACACGTGACTTTCAATGGTCAATTGGAGAATCCAGAATAAAACACTTTAAACACGTTTAAGATAACTGTAACGATGTCACAATATCATTAATGCATCAAACTATTTTTTCATTCAATATACATTCAATGGCACAGGATTAAATCACTTTAAATAGCCAACAATCGGCATGTTTTGTTTTATCAATATACATCAAATTACTTTCTGATCTTAAAAAATTTGTAAGGGTTCCGCGGAACCCAGTGTCTCGCCTACTTTTTCTGTTAATCGCAGGCTCAACAAAAATGAGGAAGTAAATCAATAAAAATATTCCTCTTGATACTATCTTTTGATTGTAAGAAGCTTCTGTCCAAGTTTGGTAAAATTCCAGGATAGTTTATGAATCTAATAAATGTTTACAAACTTTAACTGCAGACTGAATGTAATGTTAACTGGAATAAAACAAAATTTCCTTCTAGATACTAGCATTTGATCATAAACAAGCTTCTGTCCAAGTTTGGTACAAATCCAAAATAGTATAAGAAAGTTATTAAAATTTTAAAAACTTTTAACCACAGAGTGAATGTGATATTTACCGGCAGAAAAATTAAGTCCATTTATAAGTAAAATACAGAAAAAATGGGAATTTCATTTTTACAAAATTTACTTCTGGATACTATCTTATGATCATAAACAAGCTTCTGTCCAAGTTTGGTAGAAATCCAGGATAGTTTAAGAAAGTTATTAAAATTTCAAAAACTTTAACCACAGCGTGAATATTTGTGGACGCCGCCGACAACGACGGAATGTAGGATCGCTATGTCTCGCTTTTTCGACTAAAGTCGAAACGGCTCGACAAAAATCCGCTCACATACAGAATTTAAAAAATAATACTCTTGGCCTTAAAAAAAGGAAAATGAGCCCCACATAACCTAAAAAACAGATGATGACTTATTATTGAGATGTCAATAATATTGCTGAAAGGATTTTCCCAAGAATTCAACAAATTTCTAGGAGAGGAATAAAACAGTAATAGTGGAAATAGATGTTTAAACAAATAATATGCAAGAACATACACAACTTCTCTTTTTAAAGCCGATATTAATGAACATGTAATGTAATATCCTGTTAAATTTTTGAAGTAGCACGTTGCTGATGATAAATACGTATGCATGACATCACGAATCAAGTGGAAATCCACAAATGTCACGAACTTACAAGCACAACAACTTGCAGTCATCAACGATACATTTCATTCCAGTAAAATTTCGTAGTCATAAACATATATCTTGGGTGTTTCAAAGTACCATTGTTTTTTTATTTGGTGTTTCTATAAATATTTTGGAAACTTGAGGTTACATGGTTACTAAAGCTTGTACACAGGAATAAAAGGGGTGAAAATTTGATTGCTAACTTCCAGTGATGGTTATTATCTTATATGCAATGAAAAGTTATGTGAAATAATTTTTGTATGTAATACTGGACAGGATAAAACCTTACTCATGCCAAGTATTTCTTTATTTGAAACAAAGATAAATTCTGCACAATTTTTTGAAAAGTGCAAATTCAACAAAGACTAATAGGGGAAAAACAATGGTGGTATTACAACTATATAAAAATTTGTAACTTAGAAACCGGATCATGTTGTTTTTTTTCAAACAGGGATAGGATCTGGCGTCCATAAGTGCACACAACTGCAATAAATCATTGACACAAAGCCTCAAAATGATGATGATATTGATATGAAGATGGTATGTGTGCAGGGAATTTTTCCTGGAGTAAATTTAATGGAAGTCTTACGCCGGCAAGAAGAAGTGTCATTTTCGTCGCCATTTTGCCTGCTAAACGTGGAATCATAACGTCACTTCCCCTTTATTTTGATAAAACAAATATACTTATAAATGTTTTTTAATTATGAACTACCATTTTGCATTTGAGAAATATTTTATATAACTATGATAAAACATCAATGAACAATCAAACTCCAGTTTCACTTTAATTTATCCGAAACTGTACAGATTGTTCCAAGTTTAAAATGGGGAAATGGGAGAGTGACAGAAATTTAAGAGAACTTTTGTGTTTGTACTGACCAGTCATTTTCACTTTAAAATATTTTTTTTTATATAAAATAATACGAAACGTTAAAAATGAATACACAAATTATTTGTTTAATCAAAAGACATTAAAGGGTAAACATTATTTTCCCCCATTATTAATTAATAAACTCTACCAACAACCATGTGCTTTCTTTTCTGAAAAACTGCCTGGTAGCTGGAAGTGTCTGGCTCACCTCTGTTTAAAGATTACTGAGATTCTTTAATTAAGTCGGCCAGAAAATGGTACTACTAATAAGTTTTCAGAACATGATATAGATTACAATATAAATGATAAGAGATCGCGTAAAATATGAAGAGATTGGGTGCTCAGCTCACCGTACTTTCTCACAATATTTTTTAAGGTTCATCATAACAAATGGACAAAAATGGTTGTATTTACACCTCAAAAACTACTCTGAATACTGACTAACCTTTTAGCATTTTTTTCGTTCCTGCTATTGGTGTAAAAATAAGCAAACACCTGAATTGCTTTAATACTGTCCACCCAGTTACACCTTTAACTCCCCTATGGTTGTGTAGATACACATTGTCTGTCTATTGTCCATGTAAATCAAGGACAAGTAATGCAATACAATAGTTGTTACCTGAGAGGGAGCATCTCAAAGTTGTATCCAAACTTAGTTTATTTTTAAACCTTCTGCAGGAACAAAAAAAAAATGCCCATCAAAATCCAAAAAAGATTTTATCTTTCTGAAACACAAAATGCATTTAACTTTTATACGAAGCAAGTTAACTCGTACCATTGTAAACTCGTACCACGTAAACTCGTACCAAAAAAGTTAACTCGTACCACTGGGAAGTCGTACCAATCAGTACTCGTACCACTGCAAACTCGTACCATTAAAAATATATTAAAAAATACGAATGTTTTATGATTTTGTTTTGGTATCACCAGCCCAGTAGTCAGCACTTCTGTGCTGACATGAATTATCATTGATATGGTCATATTTATAAATTAACTGTTTACAAAACTTTTGCAATTTTGAAATACTAAGGCTTTTCTAGCTCAGGAATAGAATCACCTTAGCTGTATTTGGCAAAACTTTTAGGAATTTTGGTCCTCAATGCTCTTCAACTTCGTGCTTTATTTGGCTTTTTTAACTTGTTTGGATTCGAGCGTCACTGATGAGTCTTTTGTAGACGAAACGCGCGTCTGGCGTAAATACAAAATTTAATCCTGGTATCTATGATGAGTTTATTTAAAACACAATAAATAAATTCTTTCGTTAAATAAAAATTCCTTTTAGAGACAAAAGAAAAATACACAAATCTATTCAATGATACTGATTTGGAATGATTAAAAATTAAATCAAATAGTTGTCAGTAAAAGTTTAAAAAAAGAGTCTACTCAAGGGAGACAACAAAGCCAATCTGCCACGGTTTTCTCTATCCAATTAGACAAGGAAAATTAGCTACAAATTGGTCATTGTAATTTCAAATTATATACACTTTACAGATTTACGAGGCATTGAGGGAAATTAAAGTATAAATTCATCATTAAACACCATTTGAATGCATTTAAATAAGTTGGTACGAGTTTACAATGGTATGAATTTACCGTGGTACGAGTTAGCAGTGGTACGAGTTTGCATTGGTACGAGTTTTTTTTTAGTGGTACGAGTTGACATTGGTACGAGTTTACAATGGTACGAGATAACTATAATTCCTTTTATATATCTAGGGGATGCCAGGCCTTAAAACTTTTCCAACTGGACAGGTTAGTCGGTACTCAAGAGTAATGTTTGAAGTGTAAATACAGCCATTTTTGTCCATTTATTATGATGAACCTTAAGGTGAATCATAACAAATGGACAAAAATGGTTATGTTTACACCTTCACAATTAGTCTGAGTACAGTCAAACATATGCAGTTGGAAAAGGTTGAAGGCCTGGCATCCACTAACTTTATAAGTTGAAAGCATTTTGTTTTTCAGAGTGCAAAATTATGAATAATTGTTCACTTTCTATTGGTATGCTATTACAAAATGTATTGTTTAATCACTTAACTCTAAACTAATCATGTTATACTCGGTTAATCTGTTTTTAGCTCACCTGGCCCAAAGGGCCAAGTGAGCTTTTCTCATCACTTGGCGTCCGTCGTCGGCGTTAACTTTTTACATTTTGAACTTCTTCTAGAGAACCACTGAATGGAATGAAACCAAACATGGTATGAATGTTCCTTATGAGGTGCTGACCAAGTGTTGTTACTTTGTAGCCGATCCATCATCCAAGATGGCCGCCAGCGGGGGACTTAGTTTAACATAGGACCCTATGGGAAATGCATACAAATGTCTTCTTTTAGAGAACCACTGAATGGAATGAAACCAAACATGGCATGAATGTTCCTTATGAGGTGCTGACCAAGTGTTGTTACTTTGTAGCCGATCCATCAACCAAGATGGCCGCCAGCGGGGGACTTAGATTAACAGAGGACCCTATGGGAAATACATAAAAATGTCTTCTTTTAGAGAACCACTGAATGGAATGGAACCAAACATGGCATGAATGTTCCTTATGAGATGCTGACCAAGTGTTGTTACTTTGCAGTCGGTCCATCATCCAAGATGGCCGCCAGCGGGGGACTTAGTTTAACATAGGACCCTATGGGAAATACATACAAATGTCTTCTTTTAGAGAACCACTGAATGGAATGAAACCAAACATGGCATGAATGTTCCTTATGAGGTGCTCACCAAGTGTTGTTACTTTGTAGCCGATCCATCATCCAAGATGGCCGCCAGCTGGGGACTTAGTTTAACATAGGACCCTATGGGAAATGCATACAAATGACTTCTTTTAGAGAACCACTGAATGGAATGAAACCAAACATGGCATGAATGTTCCTTATGAGGTGCTGACCAAGTGTTGTTACTTTGTAGCCGATCCATCATCCAAGATGGCCGCCAGCGGGGGACTGAGTTTAACATAGGACCCTATGGGAAATACATACAAATGTCTTCTTTTAGAGAACCACTGAATGGAATGGAACCAAACATGGCATGAATGTTCCTTATGAGATGCTGACCAAGTGTTGTTACTTTGCAGGCGGTCCATCATCCAAGATGGCCGCCAGCGGGGGACTTAGTTTAACATAGGACCCTATGGGAAATACATACAAATGTCTTCTTTTAGAGAACCACTGAATGGAATGAAACCAAACATGGCATGAATGTTCCTTATGAGGTGCTGACCAAGTGTTGTTACTTTGCAGTCGGTCCATCATCCAAGATGGCCGACAGCAGGGGACTTAGTTTAACAAAGGACCTATGGGAAATACATACAAATGTCTTCTTTTAGAGAACCACTGAATGGAATGAAACCAAACATGGCATGAATGTTCCTTATCAGGTGCTCACCAAGTGTTGTTACTTTGTAGCCGATCCATCATCCAAGATGGCCGCCAGCCGGGGACTTAGTTTAACATAGGACCATATGGGAAATGCATACAAATGACTTCTTTTAGAGAACCACTGAATGGAATGAAACCAAACATGGCATGAATGTTCCTTATGAGGTGCTGACCAAGTGTTGTTACTTTGTAGCCGATCCATCATCCAAGATGGCCGCCAGCGGGGGACTAAGTTTAACATAGGACCCTATGGGAAATACATAAAAATGTCTTCTTTTAGAGAACCACTGAATGGAATGGAACCAAACATGGCATGAATGTTCCTTATGAGATGCTGACCAAGTGTTGTTACTTTGCAGTTGGTCCATCATCCAAGATGGCCGCCAGCGGGGGACTTAGTTTAACATAGGACCCTATGGGAAATACATACAAATGTCTTCTTTTAGAGAACCACTGAATGGAATGAAACCAAACATGGCATGAATGTTCCTTATGAGGTGCTCACCAAGTGTTGTTACTTTGTAGCCGATCCATCATCCAAGATGGCCGCCAGCCGGGGACTTAGTTTAACATAGGACCCTATGGGAAATGCATACAAATGACTTCTTTTAGAGAACCACTGAATGGAATGAAACCAAACATGGCATGAATGTTCCTTATGAGGTGCTGACCAAGTGTTGTTACTTTGTAGCCGATCCATCATCCAAGATGGCTGCCAGCGGGGGCCTTAGTTTAACATAGGACCCTATGGGAAATACATAAAAATGTCTTCTTTTAGAGAACCACTGAATGGAATGGAACCAAACATGGCATGAATGTTCCTTATGAGATGCTGACCAAGTGTTGTTACTTTGCAGGCGGTCCATCATCCAAGATGGCCGCCAGCGGGGGACTTAGTTTAACATAGGACCCTATGGGAAATACATACAAATGTCTTCTTTTAGAGAACCACTGAATGGAATGAAACCAAACATGGCATGAATGTTCCTTATGAGGTTCTGACCAAGTGTTGTTACTTTGTAGCCGATCCATCATCCAAGATGGCCGCCAGCGGGGGACTTAGTTTAACATAGGACCCTATGGGAAATACATACAAATGTCTTCTTTTAGAGAACCACTGAATGGAATGAAACCAAACATGGCATGAATGTTCCTTATGAGGTGCTGACCAAGTGTTGTTACTTTGCAGTCGGTCCATCATCCAAGATGGCCGACAGCAGGGGACTTAGTTTAACAAAGGACCTATGGGAAATACATACAAATGTCTTCTTTTAGAGAACCACTGAATGGAATGAAACCAAACATGGCATGAATCTTCCTTATGAGATGCTGACCAAGTGTTGTTACTTTGTAGCCGATCCATCATCCAAGATGGCCGCCAGCGGGGGACTTAGTTTAACATAGGACCCTATGGGAAATACATACAAATGTCTTCTTTTAGAGTACCACTGAATGGAATGAAACCAAACATGGCATGAATGTTCCTTATGAAGTGCTGACCAAGTGTTGCTACTTTGTTGCTGATTTACTGTTCAAGATGGCCACCAGGATATTTTATTAAATAACGGGACCAATATTAATCAAAATTTGGCCTCAATCATTATTTGGGTATCTGTTATGATTTTTATCTATCTTAACATGATTTCTAAAACCAAAGTAGAGTCAGGTGAGCGACACAGGCTCTCGAGAGCCTCTAGTTTATATTATAGACAAAAGACAATTTTTATCTGCACAAACACATTTGCATTAAATGGTTATGGCATACGAAATAGAACAATTGAAACAATAAACTGACAATAATTAAATTAGAGTGACCGTGGTATTCACTCGAAAAGAGGACCAATAAAATTTTAATAAATTTCTAATTTTATTGAGAGTACAAATTGTAAATTGCACGACAGAATTAACAGTTTCAAAAACTAACAACACATGATGGCACATAATCACAAGATTAGCTATATTATGAAAAAGACAAAAGTCGTCGACACCAATTTACGTATGTAATAATTGTTAAAGGCATAAAGCATAATGATTTTTTTTTAAGTCACATTTCAAGGAAGGGAAAGCCCCTGCATCTGAGGAGGCCACAATACACAGAATAAGGATCACTCTTACCAGCAGAAATGTCAAAAGTTTGGAAAAAGGTAAAGTATTCCTAAAAGAAGACCATCATTGTTTCCCATAGCATTGTGACGGCCTTCTTAAATATTGTTTTTTGTAACAAAATTATCTCCCCTTACTTGCTGTATCATAAATTGTATTTTTAATTTCGATGTTATAAATTATACCCCCAATTCAGGAGTGGGACTATAGGAATTATGATCCTATATTGCATTAACCCTGTCTGCCCATTTGTCTAACAAATGTGTTTGTCACACTACAGAATAAATTTATATTTTGGTCATCACGTTGTCAGTGAGTTGTAAAACTTTCCAATCTGTGGGATGCCTGCTTCTTGTTTGCCTATACTTAATTTTTCAATATGTTGAATAAAAAACATTTTGTCGCACTTTTCTAAAAAAGAAAAGGAAAATTCCTGCCTGACTTGACAGTGATGACTTGTAATCAATTTCTGATCTGTCAGGACAGATACCTACTGTATATTTTGTATTACTAGTGAGGGATTCCTAAGCCTAATAAATAAATGCACGTGTTTCTGCTTACCCTAGATACCTAACCTAATTTTTGTGCCTATCCTAAGATTTTTTTAAAAATTTTTCAGAGTTTTTTTGGCCACCAAGACAAAAAATCTGGTAGTCCTTCAGAAAATCGGGTGGTCCCGTAATTTTACTTGAATTTATCAAACACCTATTAGTTACATGTAAGTCATTGCTCAATACTATATTAACTCGATCCTAGTTTCTATGTTATATATTTGGTTGTTTTCAATTAAATTTTGAACTCCGCATTGATCACTAATTTTTATACGACCGCAAAAAAATTTTGTGGTCGTATATTGGTATGACGTTGGCGTCGTCGTCGTCCGGCGTCGTCGTCGTCCGGCGTCGTCGTCCGAATACATATTGGTTTTCGCACTCTAACTTTAGTTTAAGTGAATGGATCTTTTTGAAATTTGACCATAAGGTTAAATACCACAAAAGGAAGGTTGGGATTGATTTTGGGGGTTATGGTACCAACAGTTAAGGAATTAGGGGTCAAAAAGGGGCCAAAAATGAGCATTTTCTAGTTTCCAGACAATAACTGTGGAACGGTGTATGGATCTCTCTGAAATTATACTACAAGTTTCCATACCACAAAGGGATGGTTAGGATTTGCTTTGGGGGGTTATGGCTCAAACCGTTTAGGAATTAGGGGCAAAAAAGGGGGAAAAACAAGGTTGTCCTGGTTAATGGACAAATACTTTAGTACAAAACATAATTTAAAGCAGTGTAAGGGAGATAAATCAAATACATCATTGAAATTATCTCCCTTACACTGCTTTTAAATTATGTATAAAGTAATGGTTAATGAACAATAAAGATAATCTAAAACAGTGTAAGGGAGGTAATCCAAATACAACGTTTTGGTTACTTCCCTTACACTGCTTTTAAATTATGTTTAAAGAAATGCATATTTATAAAGGAAGACCAGTAAAAATATCTGCAAATGTTTTCATCTTTTTTTTTTACAAAAAAATCCATATGAAAGATTTGACACTATATTTTTATTAATTCTATTATAAAATAGATTAAGTTAGCACTATGGTAAATTTAAATGGGTAATTATGGTTGCCAACTCCATTGGAAATTTGAATTGAGATTATGACCATATCTTGAGGGAAAGAATTTTTTGGGGGGAAAAAGGGGGGGGGGGGGATAAAAAGAAATTGTGGGGGGCCAATTTTTTCTCATTTCAGATTTCAGAAATTAAAAAGAATTATTCTTCAAATATTATTTTTTTTTCAAATTTCAAATATTGAAAAATTTCAAGAAGTAATCTTTAATTGCACAGTATGGCGCATTAGATTTGTAAAATCTTTGATCACATTTATTTATTTGTTATGCCGAATCTAACAGTGTATTTAGATTTTTAATTTTGGGTCCAGTTTTCAAATTGATCTACATTAATGTCCAAAGGGTCCAAAATTAAACTTTGTTTGATTTTAGCAAAAATTGAATATATGAGGTTCTTTGATATGCTGAATCTAAATATGTATTTAGATTTTTGATTTTTGGCCCAGTTTTCAAGTTGGTCCAAATTGGGGTACAAAATTAAACTTTGTTTGATTTCAACAAAAATTGAATATATGGGGTTCTTTGATATGCTGAATCTAACCATGTATTTAGATTTTTTATTTGTGGACCCCGTTATCTAATTGGTTCATATTGAGGTCAAAAGGGTCCAAAATTAAACTTTGTTTGATTTCATCTAAAATTGAATTATTGGGGTTCTTTGATATTCCAAATCTAACCGTGTATTTAGGTTTTTAATTTTGGGTCCTGTTATTTAAATTGGTCTACATTGAGGTCCAAAGGGTCCAAAATTAAACTTAGTTTGATTTTGACAAAAATTGAATTCTTGGGGTTCTTTGATTTGCTGAATCTAAACATGTGTTTAGATTTTTGATTATGGGCCCAGTTTTCAAGTTGGTCCAAGATAGGGTCCAGTATTTAAACTTTGTTTGATTTCAACAAAAATTGAATATATGGGGTTCTTTGATATGCTGAATCTAAACATGTATTTAGATTTTTGATTATGGGCCCAGTTTTCAAGTTGGTCCAAATTGGGGTCCAAAATTAAACTTTGTTTGATTTCGAAAAAAATTGAATATATGAGGTTCTTTGATATGCTGAATCTAACCATGTATTTAGATTTTTTATTTGTAGGCCCCGCTATCAAATTGGTTCATATTGAGGTCAAAAGGGTCCAAAATTAAACTTTGTTTGATTTCATCGAAAATTGAATTATTGGGGTTCTTTGATATGCCAAATCTAACCGTATTTTTAGATTTTTAATTTGGGTCCCGTTTTTTAAATTGGTCTTCATTGAGGTCCAAAGGGTCCAAAATTAAACTTAGTTTGATTTTAACAAAAATTGAATTCTTGGGGTTCTTTGATATGCTGAATCTAAACATGTGTTTAAATTTTTGATTATGGGCCCAGTTTTCAAGTTGGTCCAAGTTGGGGTCCAAAATTAAACTTTTTTTGATTTCAACAAAAATTGAATATATGGGGTTCTTTGATATGCTGAATCTAACCATGAATTTAGATTTTTTATTTGTGGGCCCCACTATCAAATTGGTTCATATTGAGGTCAAAAGGGTCCAAATTAAACTTTGTTTGATTTCATCAAAAATTGAATTATTGGGGTTCTTTGATATTCCAAATCTAACCGTGTATTTAGATTTTTAATTTTAAGTCCCATTTTTTAAATTGGTCTACATTAAGGTCCAAAGGGTCCAAAATTAAACTTAGTTTGATTTTAGCAAAAATTGAATTCTTGGGGTTCTTTGATATGCTGAATCTAAACATGTGTTTAGATTTTTGATTATGGGCCCAGTTTTCAAGTTTGTCCAAGTTGGGGTCCAAAATTAAACTTTGTTTGATTTTAACAAAAATTGAATATATGGGGTTCTTTGATATGCTGAATCTAACTATGTATTTTGATTTTGGACATTGGACCATAATAGGTAAATTAAAAAAATTCAAGTTCTTAGACCACATTCTTTCTGTGTCAGAAACCTATGCTGTGTCAAATATTTAATAACAATCCAAATTCAGAGCTGTATCAAGCTTGAATGTTGTGTCCATACTTGCCCCAACTGTTCAGGGTTCGACCTCTGCGGTCGTATCAAGCTGCGCCCCAGCGAAGCATTTTATTCGTATATTGGTATGACGTTGGCATCGTCGTCCGAAGACATATTGGTTTTCGCACAATAACTTTAGTTTAAGTGAATGGATCTCTATGAAATTTTACCATAAGGTTCAATACCACAAAAGGAAGGTTGGGATTGATTTTGGGGGTTATGGTACCAACAGTTAAGGAATAAGGGGCCAAAAATAAGAAGTTTTCTAGTTTCAAGACAATAATTTGTGGAACAGTGTATGGATCTCTCTGAAATTATACCACAAGTTTCCATATCACAAAGGGATGGTTAGGATTTGCTTTGGGGGGTTATAGCTCAAACTGTTTTGGAATTGGGGGGAAAACAAGTGTGTCTTGGTTAATGGACAAATACTTTAGTACAAAACATAATTTAAAGCAGTGTAAGGGAGGTAATTAAAATACATCATTTGAATTACCTCCCTTACACTGCTTTTAAATTATGTATAAAGTAATGGTTAATGAACAATTAAGACAATTTAAAAGCAGTGTAAGGGAGGTAATCCAAATACAACATTTTGATTACCTCCCTTACACTGCTTTTAAATTATGTTTAAAGAAATGCATATTTATAAAGGAAAACCAGTAAAATGTTGCATCTTTTTTACAAAAAAAATCCATATGAAAGATTTGAGACCATATTTTATATCTATTATAAAATAGATTAAGTTAGCACTATGGTAAATTTAAATGGGTAATTATGGTTGCAACAACAAAAAAAAGGGGGGGTAAATTTTTTTTTTTTTTGTGGGGGGAGGGGGGAGTCAATTTGCAATAGCAAAGTGTATTGCACAAAAGCAAAAAATTGAATATAAATTCAAATCATATAACCAATTCTGTGTCAGAAACCTTTTATGTGTCAAATATTTAATTACAATCCAAATTCAGACCTGTATCAAGCGCGAATATTGGGTCCATTTTTGCCCCAACTGTTCAGGGTTGGACCTCTGCAGTCGTATCCAGCTGCACTTGGCGAAGCAATTTATTATACTTTGTCAGTTTGATTACATGTTTGTTTTATGTCTCATGCATTATACTACAATCGTTTACAGTGAAAAGTAACACTGGGTTAAGCACCATCTTTGAACGAGATGGGCCATGCAGCAGCCATGATGACTTTTACGACTGGTTATTTTTCAAAAGTATTACCGTAATTTTGAGCTATGCTACAAAAGTTAAATTACAGTAGTTACCAGTTCAAAAACTATCTGAATACCAAAGAAACTGATGACTGGTTCTTTTTCAAAAGTATTACAGTAATTTTGAGCTAGCAATTAAAGTTTGTTTACATTATTAACCAGTTCAAAAGCTATCTGAATAC